CAAGATTGACCTCCCCACAGAAAACAGCAATTCTGAAGTGATCCTGATCACCGGGAAGAAGGCCAATTGTGAGGACGCTCGGGATCGTATCTTGGCCATCCAGAGAGAGCTGGTGGGTGTGTGAACCATTTTCCTCCTCCCCCCCTCCTCCTCCTCCTCCTCCTCAACACTCTGAATGAAGCTATCTGAATGCCTTCCACTCAGGATGCAATCTGGAACAAGGTGTATTATTGGGTTACCTTTGAAGCACACCTGGAAACTCTATGAAGCCCACTTAGGCGGCCCATCCACTTAATCTGTTCCTACCAAGGGACTACTGGCTCTTTGTTCAGTTTCAGAACAATAGAAACAGAACAGTTTTTGAATATTGACTTGCAGCTGGTCTGTCTGAATCCCAACTTTTTCTTGCACAAAATTGATAGTCAGTGGAGATCTTCTTACAGGTGATCTTTTGAGGCTTGGCGCTAAGATGCTACTGACAGAGAACACCCCGCGATGCGGGTTCTCTAAATTTCCCACCACCCAAAAAAGAAAAAAAAAGAGATTTAAAGAAATAATTGTAGATGACTTTTTTAAAAAAAAAAACAAGCCTAAAATTATGTTGTGAAAAGTTTTCCAGTTGCCCAAGGAGTTTATTCCCTCCCTTAAACAAACATTATAATTTTGTCCATAGTGTATTTGGTCATGTTTACAGGAAAGGGAATGATTCTGGGCTAATATCTCTCTTTTTTTTTTTTGAAAAATTTTTTATTTAAAATTTCAATACATATAATCCCACCCATCCCCTCCCACCCTATCCCCCCCTGCTTCCCGGAGCAAAATACAGGGTTATTGTAAACAAAATAAACACAATCTATAACTTTTAAAAAAAAACCCAAAATTATACAATAAACAAATTCATACATAACCCTTAACTCCCTCTAAACTTTAAAAATAATAAAATAAACAAATCTACTATAACTCAAATATTATAAAATTCTATAAATCTAATATCTAATATCTCTCTTGACTCCACCCCGGGCCATATCTGTGTTCCTACTAACTACAAAAAGAAATCCAGACTTCAGATACAGCTGACGTTATGGCCTATTTTTTGCCATGGCGGTTAAGTGAATCACTTGCAGCTGTGAAGTGATCTTTCAGTGAATCCATTGACTTTGCACATCAGAAGCTGTCTGGGAAAGTCACAAATGGCAATTGCAGGACCCAGAGATGTTGCATGCAGTGCAAATACATAACCGGTTGCCAAGCACACCCAAAATTTTGATCATGTGACCTTGGAGAAATACTATGACAGTAGTAAGTGAGAAGACCAGCCATTTTTTCAGTGCTACCATAACTTTGAACGGTCGCTAAGTGAATATTTGTAAGTCGAGGACTTATCCCTACCAGTTGCCCAGTGTGACATGCATTTGTGCTGGTAATAAATTGTATTAAGCGATGCCCTTCTTAAAAAAAAATGTAAATTCATCTGCAAACTTTCCATCCTGGATGGCAAGTCAGGTTGGTCCTTTTTAATACTGCTAACCATATTTCCCCGAAAATAAGACTGGGTCTTATATTCCAGTTAGGTCTTATTTTCGGGAACATAAGCTACTAAATGTGTCCGTCTAGCTCAGTGGTTCTCAACCTTTTTAAGGCCGCAACCCCCAACCGGTCGTAAGTCGAGGACTACTCAACCGGTCGTAAGTCGAGGACTACTCAACTGGTGCAGCACCGTTTGCAGAATGGGACTTTTGGCGGGCTCAGCAGGGCAGAGACAGCCTGGACAATTCCTATTGGCTTTTGAAAGCCAATAGAATTAGACTCTATTCAAGAGAGTCTATTCTATGGCTTTCAAAAGCCAATAGAATAAAAGGGAGTAGCACAGCTAAGGAAAAGGGGGGAAAAAATGGCGGACTGCGTTGTTTGGCGACCCCCGTGAAATGGTCGTTCGACCCCAAATGGGGTCCCGACCCACAGGTTGAGAACCACTGGTCTAGCTTAACAATCTTATTTTTAGGGTGGGGCTTATATTACGAGCATCCTGAAAAATCATGCTAGGGCTTATTTTCCATCTAGGTCTTATTTTTTGGGAAATGGAATTGCACCACATCAACCGAAATGGTGTAGGGTTTCCTGCCTGAGCAGGGGGTTGGACTAGATGTCCTCCAAGGTCCCTTCCAACTTTACTACTATTACTATTACTCTGTTCTATGCTTGCAACCTTCGTTTAAATGAAAGCATTTGGATCCTTCCATCTTTTTTTTTTCTGTTTGGGAATTTTTAGACCCATAAATGTTTTATTTTATTTTTTTATAGCACATTTTTGTTACATTTACTGCTGCGTCTCTCATCGAAGGGGACTATCTGTTGGAATGAGGAAGAGAAATTGGTGGGGGTCCTTGATGCTCTCTGTGCTTGGTGGTTTTCTTGCAGGTGTTTCATTACCAAACTAGAGTCACATCGTCAGAACGCTGATGACGTTACCTAGCTTGGTAATGAAACGTCTCTTAAGGAAACCTCCAAGCTCGGAGAGCACCTAGAACCTCAGAGTTCCACCTTGAGCTACAAATACTCTCTTATAAGAGAAATCAAACATGATGAATTGGTGCGGCGGCCAGATTATCTTTCATTTTGAACTTGGATTTTGTAGCTTTTCTCTTCTCGCCCTCAGGCTAACATCAAGGAAGTGGATATCTCCATCCCAGCCAAACTGCACAATTCGCTGATTGGGGCCAAGGGGCGGCTGGTGCGCTCAGTCATGGAGGAATGTGGCGGGGTGCACATTCATTTCCCTTCCGAAGGCTCGGGCAGCGAGAAAGTCACCATCCGAGGGCCCGGTGAAGAGGTGGAAAGAGCGAAGCGCCAGTTGCTGCATCTTGCCGAGGAAAAGGTAGGTAGTCTGTCTCCAATTCGATGGTTGCAGAGCAGTTAAGTTTCTTGAACGAAAAACAGCCCTAAAGGGCCGGAACAGTAAAGGTGTGGACTCACCTTGGATTAACCATTAACCAATTAACCATTAAGCAAAATAATCAGGTATTTAGGGTATCAAGGAAAGGAGAGACATCATAGAGCAGGGGTGGGCAACTATTGCAACTTTACGACCTGTGGATTTCAACTCCCAGAATTGAGCCAGCATGGCTGGCGTGACTGGCTCAGGAATTCTGGGAGTTGAAGTCCACAGGTCGTAAAGTTGCCATAGCTGCCCATCCTTACCATAGAGTTTTTCTCCTTAGCTGTCATGCCCTTAACGCTTTCATTGCCACACTCAACTTCAGGTTTCAATTAATATTTGTATTTTTTTCTCTTATAATAATGTAATAATTTAAAAGGCATTCCAAAGTGTCATTTATTTTCTTTCTGCCTTGTTATAGGACAGTAGGGCTGTTATTTAACATTACATCAATAATATTTTTTTTTTAAGTTTATTTTGAATGCAGTTGTGGGTCCGGCCTGGGAGAAAACTGAATTTTTAATCACATTTCTGGTCGCTCAATGAATCCAGATTCTCCCGTTGATTTTGCCTGGCAAATGGCGATCACCTGACCCTGCGACATTGCAGTTGTCATAAATATGTAGGAGATGACCAGACTGAGCCCGAGGGAGGGGTCAAAGGCGTCATAAGTCACATGTCCTTGCACAGCTGCAAGAGATCTAAGTCCAGCCCTACTTGAATTCCTTTCTTAACTCCCGCTCATTTGCCTTGACCGTTAGTAGCTCAGATTCTTGTAGAGAGCTTGCAATAAATCTTTATGCTCATTTGAACTGCCTGAATTTCCCATTTTCCCTGGCACTTGACAAAATACATGCCAAGCACCCAAATGTTGACCACGTGACCGTGGGGATGCTGCCTGTGCTCCCAACAGCTGAGTCTGAGGAGGAGGTGGAGGAGGCATTTGAAGGGCCATCGGGGCAGAGGGAGGCTCTGATGAATTACAGGACTCACGGTTTGATGCAGAGCCTGGGCCCTCCAGTCGTGTTCCTGATGAAACTCAGCTGTGTGAGGAGAATGAGTCAGATTCGGAGGACTCACACCTGATGGACTTGCTAATTGATGCTCGCACACGTCGTCAATTAGCGAGAGTAAATCAGCAGCAGTCAATACGGCAACTCCAGAGTAAAAGGAGAAGGCAATGAGAGGCAACACCTTGGGACTGCTGTATAAAAAGAGGAGGTGTGGGCAGTGCTGGTTGCTGAAGGCCACTGTTTGCAAAGTGGTTCTTGGAATCTTGGTCTGTTGTCTTGCTTGTGATACTCTTCTGTTTGCATTGTGTTTCCTGTGTATTATTTCCTTCCTTTGGACTTGAGTTTTGCTGTTTGTGTTTTGGACTATTTGACAGGTTTGTCACCCATATTAAAAGGGGTTTGTTTTGTTTTAAAGTCTCCAGCTTATTGTATCAACAGGGGTTTGGTCCTTGTGCCTTTAACAAGGACGGCAATAGGCTGGGATAGAACACTGCCATGGTGGTAAAGTGTGAAAACCAGACATGTCACTTTTTTTCCAGTGCCATTATAACGTCAGGTGGTAGAAGGCGAGGATCACCTGTCCTACTTGAGGTCTATTGGAGGACTGATGCATGTCCATGTTTTCTTCCTCCAGCAAATCAACAACCACTCAGTGGAACTGCACGCTAAGTCAGACTACCACAAGTTCCTGATTGGGCGTGGAGGTGCTAATATCCGCAAAGTTAGGGACCGCACCGGTGCCCGGATCATCTTCCCCACCCCTGAGGATAAGGACCAGGATGTTATCACCATTGTGGGCAAGGAAGAGGCAGTACGGCAGGCCCAGCAAGAACTGGAGAGTCTCATCCGTAACTTGGTATGGGTCGTACAGCTTTTGCAGGAGTCTCCTTTAAGACTCACGGACTTCAGCTCCCAGAATTCCTCTGAAGAATTTCCTTTAATGAGAAAATCCCTAGAGCTCATAGCACCATCTTCTCTTAGCACATTTCTCTTCTAGAAGATGGGCGGGTAGAGATGGAGGACCACCAAAAAGATCTGTGGAGTTTGATCATCTCTAGTTTGGAGGGGGTGGGATAACTCTAGCTGTTCTGCATGAGGAAGGTTTTATTTTTGCAATTCATGCTTAAAAGACACCGGTAGGAATCGATGGGTAAGGGCTCCTCCTAGGAATTCTGGGAATTGGAGTCCACAAGTCTTAAAGTTACCCAGTTTGGAGACTCCTGGGCTATTGGATGGAGCTGGGTGAGATGCTGGATAAGAGGGAAGACCTGCATTCTTTCCACACAACCTTACCCTATAGCTGTGATTGCAGGCGTTGCAGTCACTGTTTTTATAGAGGTTGAAACCTCCCCTTATTCCTCATTCCTCAATATTCCTCATAACGATACTACCTCTAATGGTTCTATCAGGCCAAATACTCTCTTCCCAGACGGGATCGAATTATGAAAGGTGGAGGAAAAACAACTTCCAAGAAGCACGAAAGCTTAGTGACTCCTTCTGTTCCCCACCCGCTACTTCCCCTCTAGGATAATGTCATTGAAGACTCGATGGTGGTGGATCCCAAGTACCACCGCCATTTTGTGGCCCGTCGGGGACATGTGCTGCGGGAGATTGCAGAAGAGTACGGTGGGGTCACTGTGAGTTTCCCCCGGACAGGTGTCCAGAGTGATCGCGTGACGCTCAAGGGAGCCAAGGATTGCGTGGAGGCGGCCAAGAAGCGCATCCTGGAGATCATCGGTGACCTGGTAGGTCATGCTGCACCTCTGGATTGCAGTGGGCGTTAAAAGTCACCCTCGGGTGGATCAGAGCGTGAGTCGTCTTACAAAAAGCACCTTTCCCATCCTTCTGTCATGAATATGCTTGCAGAGCATGTCCCATTTAATAAACAAATCCCTAGAGCTCACAGCAACATAAGATAGATAAGATAACCTTTATTGTCTTTTTTTTACTGGCACACATTAAAAATGAAATTCTGCTGCCCAATCTCAAAATATATATATATATGTATATACACACCTATACACATATATAACACAGGTATAGACATGCTATACACACACACACACACACACACACACACACACACACACATACACATATATATATATATTATATATATATATATATATATATATTTGTGTGTGGGTGTGTATGTATGTGTGTGTGTATGTATGTATGTATGTGTATGTGTGTGTGTATATATATATATATATTATATATATATATATATATATATTATATATATATATATATATATATATATATATATAATATATATATTTTAAATATATATATATATATATTTGAGATTGGATAAGATGACGAATGTGACTTCGTCGAAACGTTGCCAAGACACTTCCAATTTTACGCGGGAGAAAACCCGAACAACCAAAGACCTATATATATATATATATATATATATATATATATATATACACACATATACACACACATACATACATACATGTTTTCTGAGGTTTTCACGGGTGTTTGTATGTAGGTCTTTGGTTGTTCGGGTTTTCTCCCGCATAAAATTGGAAGTGTCTTGGCGACGTTTCGACGAAGTCCCATTCGTCATCTTCAGGCTGGTGTTTTCAGCTTCGTGCTTCGAGGAGCACAAAGCTGAAAACACCAGCCTGAAGTTGACAAATGGGACTTCGTCGAAACATCGCCAAGACACTTCCAATTTTACGTGGGAGAAAACCCGAATAACCAAAGACCTACATATATATGTATGTATATATATATATACATATATACGTACACATACATGCTGTACATATACATACATGCACATATATATGTATGTATGTATGCATTAATCACTGTCCATTTGAATACATAGCAGAAAGAGTTCACAAGGTTGAAACAAAGCTGTGACTGAATCTGGATGTTCTGCTTCAGATATCACAAAGCCTCCTCCTAGAACAGACATGTCAAACACAAGGCCCGGGGGCCAGATGCGGCCCACAAAGTAGTTTCATGTGGCCTGCGAAGCCATTCTGGAAACAGTGAGGGAACGGCCCCCGCTGCCCTGACCCAAGCCGGCCAGGAGCCAATGTACAATTTTGTGGTGGCCATCTTGGCACTTGCCCCGGTGGACCATGCCTTGGCGCTTGTCCCGGTCCCACCCCCTTCTGCCAGAGACCCTCAGATCTGTCCCACTCCTGCCCAGGCCCCAATAGGCACCCTTGACGCGAATGATGTAGAACTGGCATGCCCACCCAGTATGCCACACCCACTCCATCCGTGCCCACCCAGTAGGTTGCACCCACTCTGGCCACACCCACCCGGCCCCCCAAGGGCAACCACAATGCTGATGCGGCCCTCAGTGAAATTGAGTTTGACACCCCTATCCTAGAAGATAACAAGGAAAACAGGTCCTGGAGAGGATGTGTAGTGTCCCAGATAATACTCTGGTCCGTGCTCAAGCATCGCTTCTATGCCATGTCCTGGATAGAAGGAAGTGAACTACCAACAACCTTTTTGCTGTCCTCACCACTCTCTGCACCACCTTCCAAACCAGACAGGAATGCAATACGACTAGGATGCTCTCAATTGTCCCTCTATAGAAAGTGGTTAAGGACAGGGGAAGGAAGATGTGCTTTTTTCATGCGACGCAGAAAAAGCAGGCGCTACTGTGCCCACTTCACCAAACTCTCACTGTTGAGCGACCATGAGCCACAATGACTTCTGTCATGCAGTAAATCTTCTCTTAAAAACATCTAGAAGATGGGTTGGTAGAGATTGAGATCCACCAGAAAGATCGATCGATTTTGATCTATAGCTGTGTAGATCTTTTATGCAAATCAAGCCCAGATGTTATGTTGAACTATTGAACTATGATTCATAAACTGCGGTAACTATAGAGGGGGATGATTATAATTGTTCTGCATTCAGAAAGGTTTCCGAAACGTAGAAAACTGGCAGCAGAAAAAGATCTAGTGGCCTGTCGAATCTGCCCTTTGAGAGGTTTTTTTGTGTGCGTGTGTTTGTGTGTTTATGTTTATCCCAAGCATGTTTAAACTCAGTTACTGAGGTTAGGGTTTGAGGTTAGGGTTTTATTTTTGCCATTCCTGCTTAAAGGGAATTGATGAGTAAGGTTTCTTCCTAAGAATCTGCATACTCATTACCCTGTAGAGAAGCTGATAGTAAGCTGTGCAGATCTTTTATGCAAATCAAGCCCAGATGTTATGTTGAACAATTGAACTATGATTCATAAACCACAGGAACTAGATTCACCCCACAAATTAAGCTGATCAAGCAAGCAAGCCAGGTTGTGGCTTAGCCTATTGCATAAATTCGAGTTCACACTTCAGAAACCAAATTGGCCAATAAAACCCTACATTACAAATTCTGCTTGTTTTCTTGGAGGCATCAGGACTACGACAGTGATAAATTTTTATGATTAAGTATCAGCCTGTAACTGAAGCTCTTCAGGCTGTGCAGAATCAGTTACAATGCATGATTTTTTAAAAATAAAAATAAAAATGATAGGAGAAGTGAGGATACTTTAAACTTCCTTTGAGTTGCGCTCCAGTTTGATGACTTTGTACCCATGTCCATCTAGTTTTCTTGGCAACAATTTGGAAAAGGGTTGTTCTTCTCTCCTTCTGGGATATTCTTCAACTTCTCAGTCTGGCCTGCAGCGTTGTGAGTTCCTGGTGATTGCTCATCCAGCATCTAAGCAGGACCAATCCTTGCTAGAAATTGCTATTGCTGAAGCAGCGTACATGGCTTCTCAACAATTTTGTTTTTGTATGGAATCGCCTTCCCCTAAGAATGTGTTGTACGCATATTTTTAGAAGCAATACACCTAACGTGGCTGGCAAATTTATCTGGCACACAACTAGAAGGCCAATTTGATATAGTGGTTGAAATGCTGGCCTAGAAACCAGGAGATTATGAGTTCTAGTCTCTCCTTAGGCATGAAAGCCAACTGGGTGACTTTGGGCCAATCACCAGGAGACTGTGAATTCTAGTCCCGCCTTAGGGATGAAAGCTGGCTGGACGATTGGACCACTCACTCTGTCTCCCAGCCCAACTCATCTCACAATGTTGTGGGGAAAATAGGAGGCGTAAGAAGTATCACAGATAGTCCTCGACTTATGACCAAAATAGAGCCCTAAATTTCCATTGTTAAGTGAGTTTTGCCCCATTTTACAACCTCGCCACAGTTGTCAAGTGAATCATTGCAACTGATAAGTTAGTACCACGGTTGTTAAGTGAATCTGCCTTCCTCGTTGATTTTTGCTTGTCCAAAGTTGGCAAAAGCTGATCATGTGACCGCAAGACCCAGCAGCGGTCATAAGTATGAGTCAGTCATCAAGCCTCTGAATTTTGATCATGTGATCACGAGGATGCTACAAAGGTCGTTTAAGTGAGGAAAACGGTAATAAGTTGCTGTTTTTCCAGCGCCGTTGTAACTTCGAACGGTCACTAAAGGAACTGTTAGAAGCCGAGGACCACCTGTATGAACATTCACCGCCTTGAGTTACCTACAAAGTTATAAAAGTGAGATAAAAACCTGATAAACAAATAAACCAGCCCATGCGCTTTGATTTCACACCTTCCGCAGGAGGCTCAGGTGATCCTGGAATGCATCATCCCGCAGCGCTACCATCGGGTCGTGATGGGAGCGAAAGGTTACAAGGTGCAACAAATCACCCGGGATCACGATGTCCTCGTCAAGTTCCCGGAGCGAGACGACAATTCAGGTGAGTGGGATGGCGAGGTGGGCGACGTAGTTTTTCAACCCTAAACCCCTCCAAATCCAGAAAGAAACTCAGGGCAGTGAACACCCTTTTTTTTAAAACTCCTCTTTTATTATCTATGGCAGACATGTCAAACACAAGGCCCGGGGGCCAGATGTGGCCCGTGAAGTGGTTTCATGTGGCCCGCGAAGCCATCCTGGAAATAGTGAGGGAACGGCCCCCGCTGCCTTGGCCCTGGCCCATGCTGGCCGGGAGCCAGTGTACAATTTTGTGGTGGCCATGTATGCTGAAATGCATTCAGTCTTAGCTCCACAAGGCCGTCTGGAAACAGCGAGCAACCAGCCCCTGCCGCATCGGCCCCGCCCCCTGGGAGGTGTCACCCTTTATGAGGAATGAAGAAATGCACCATCGCCTGGAAGTGGCCAGCCAATGGCCCTCGCCTACTTCACATATCTGGCTTGATGGGTTCTGCCCTGGTCCCACCCCCTTCTGCCAGAGACCCTCAGATCTGTCCCACTCCTGCCCAGGCCCCCACAGGCACCCTTGACGCGAACGATGTAGAGCTGGCCACGCCCACCCAGTAGGCCACACCCACTCCATCCACGCCCACCCAGTAGGCCTTCCCCCCCTTCCCCCGAAGGCAACCGCAATGCTGATGCGGCCCTCAAGGAAATTGAGTGTGACACGCCTGGTCTATGGAGATTCTCATTCATCCAGGTCACGGTTGTCCCAAAGATGCTTTTTTCAGGAGGCAACTGGACTTTTCTTGTTTTTCTTTGAAGACGTTTCACTTCTCATCCAGGAAGCTTCTTCAGCTCTGACTGGATGGTGGGGAATGGAAGGATTTACGCTCCTTGCAGACAGCTGGTCGTTTGCATTCTTTTAGATCAGAGATCCCCAACCTTTTGGGCACCAGGGAACGGTAACGTGGAGAGATGTTTTTCCACGGACCGGAGGGGGCGTCGTTTTGTGTGCTGCCTGCATCCCGTGGATGGGGCTTCGCTTGTTTGTGCGGCTCGGTTGCTGGCAGGCTGTAGCCCGGTACTGGTCCATGGACCGGGGGGGGGGGTTGGGGACCTCTGTTTTAGAGAGTCATTGAGGCCACTTGGAGGTTTACCTGTGTCCTCAGGGTCACCTGAATGGTGCAAATGGGTGTGGAGCCTTCTTGGATGGAGGATGTTCTCTGCCCTGGGTCCCTTCACGGTTGAAGACAGGCGCACAGGCTGTTGGGGAGGAGTCTGTGTTGTCTGCATCTCAAACTGAAGCGCAAGTGGTTCCTGTAGTCTGCGCTGTTTTCTGGAAATCCATTCATCCTCCTGCACCATTCAAAGGGTGTGCATCGCTAAATGCCTGTGGCGATTTTCACTCATCCAGTTCGTGGTTGTCCCAAAGTCCAGTTGCCTCCTGAAAAAAAAACACGTTTGGGTCTCCTCTTTTATTCTTTTTTTTCTCTCTCTCTCCCTCACAAGCAGGTTCAGAAGCACAGTCTCAGGAAAATGGCGATGTGACGCCCGAACTGGACACGAGTCCTCGCAAATGTGACATCATCCTCATTTCCGGGCGCAAGGAGAAGTGTGAGGCTGCCCGATCAGCTTTGCTGGTTAGGATCCTGTCTTCTTATTGGGCTTTGTTGTTGTTGTTGTCAATTGCGAAGTCGTGTCCGACCCATCGCGACCCCATGGACAACGTTCCTCCAGGTCTTCCTGTCCTCTACCATCTTCTGGAGTCCATTTAAGCTCACACCTGCTGCTTCAGTGACTCCATCCAGCCATCTCATTCTCTGTCATCCGTTCTTCTGTTGCCCTCAATCTTTCCCAGCATCAGGCTCTTCTCCAGTGAGTCCTTCCCTCTCATTAGGTGGCCAAAGTACTTGAGTTTCAACTTCAGGACTGGCCTTCTAAAGAGCAGTCAAGGGTTGATCTCTTCTAGGACTGACCGGTTTGATCGCCTTGCAGTCCAGGGGATTCACAGGAGTCTTCTCCAGCACCATAGTTCAAAGGCCTCAATTCTTTGGCGCTCAGCCTTTCTTATGGTCCAACTTTCACAGCCATACATTGCAACTGGGAAAATCATGGCCTGGACTATACGCACTTTTGTTGGCAGGGTGATGTCTCTGCTTTTTAGTATGCTGTCTAGATTTGCCATAGCTTTCCTCCCCAGGAGCAAGCGGCGTTTAATTTCTTGGCTGCAGTCCCCATCTGTGGTGATCTTGGACTTATTGGGCTAGGGACGAGCTACCGTTCTTTAGCCATTTAAGTCCTAGCCCCCGGTACATGTGACCTCATTGGTTTTCTAACCTGTTTTTAACGGAAGGAGTCTGGCTAGAATTTTCTTGGCTTTAGCTTCTGTGCTCTGCTGGTTAGCCTAGACCGGTGGTGGTGAATCTATGGCAGGCGTGTCAGAGGCGGCACTCGGAGTCCTCTCTGTGGGCACCCGTGCCGTTGCCCCAGCCTTGCCTCCCCCCGTGACCCCCTCCTCTCCAGCAGCCCCCCTGAAGGAGACTCGCTCTCAAGCGTGGCCCACACAGGGCAGCGCAGCCAAGGACATGGCAGCCAGGCAGTGTAGACAAGACTCTGCCCTCACACCCCATCGTGCAGTTGATGCTGCAGGGCACAGGCAGAGGGTGTGGCCGCCATAGTGCTGCTGGGCTGCCTGGGCGATCTGTGGTGGGCCTGGAGGCGGTGAGTGGTCCTGTGGGCAGGCGGGGCGGGGCCTGGGGGTGGAGCAGGGGCGGGGCATGGGGGTGGAGTGGGGGCGGGGCCAGTTTTTGGGAACTCGGTCTTTAAAAGGTTCGCCATCACTGGCCTAGACCAGGGTGGGGAACCTTGGCTCTTTTATGATTCATGGACTTCAACTCCCAGAATTCCTGAGCCAGCCATGCTGAGGGGAAGGGAGAGGTTTCCAAGCTGAGTCCTGCTGGCTCAGGAATTCTGGGAGCTGAAGTCCACGAGTCATAAAAGAGCCAAGATTCCCTACCCCTGTCCTATATCATTTCAGAGAAGTGACTGTCTAGGACAAGGGTCTTCAAACTTGGCTCTTGTATGACTCGTGGACTTCAACTCCCAGAATTCCTGAGCCAGCCATACTGAGGGGAAGGGAGAGGTTTCCAAGCTGAGCCATGCTGGCTCGTGGAATTCTGGGAGTTGAAGTCCACAAGTCATAAAAGAGCCAAGGTTCCCCACTCCGTCCTAGACCAAGCTGGACTTTCTGCTAGTTACCTGTTACAAGTGCCGAACAAGAGAATTACTTCACCATTAAGGTAGTCCTTGACTTATAGCCATTTGTTTAGTGACCATTTGAAGTTAACAACTGCACTCAGTTTCTGCTCTGCCCATCTACTGTATGTAGTCTTCAACTTATAGCAGTTCATTTAGTGACTGTTCGAGGTTGCAATGGTCCTGAAAAAAGTGACTTAAGACCGTTTGACACACTTACGACCGTTGCAGCATCCTCATGGTCAGGTGATCAAAATTCAGATGCTTGGCAACTGATTCATACTTAACGACGGTTGCAGGGTCCTGGGGTCACGTGATCACCTTTAGTGACCTTCTGACAAGCAAAGTCAATGGGGGAAGCCAGATTTCACTTAACGGCGTCCATTTCTAACTTAACAGCTGCAGCGATTCACTTAACAACTGTGGCAAGAAAAGTCGGAAAATGAAGCGCAACCCGCTTAGCAAAGGTCTCGTTTAGCAACAGAAATTTTGGGCTCAGTTGTGATCATAAGTCGAGAACTATCTGTATTACCAAGATACAGATGTACGAACTGCTCTGCCGTTAAGCTTTTGAATCTGCTCTGTTCTTCTCTTCTTAGGCTCTGGTACCCATCACCATGGATGTTGACGTTCCCTTTGATCTGCACCGCTACATCATTCGGCAGAAGGGAGCTGGCATTCGCAAGATGATGGAAGAATACGAGGTAAGGGGACACCATCCTACTGGTGAGAACCTCTGCTCTTAATCTAAATGTGGGTTTTGGCAGATTTCTCAATGGTTGGGTGAGTTTCACGGACTGTTCTGAGGTCCTGCTGCTTGCAGAACTGTTCGCTTTGCGACAGACGTCTGAAGCAAAGCCGATTCACGCGCAGTGCTTAAGCTATTGGCGCAGCAGAGTTTTGCCCCCCTGACGAAGGCACATCGCAACTGACGTGTGAATCATCCACAGTGACATAAGCAGGCTTAGACAGTCTCAAACATGTCAGGCCTTTTTTTAAGAGATCAAAGGAGAAACAAAAGGAGCACGTGAAGGTAAAATCATTGCTAAAAGATGATTCCCAGAATCACTCGATCTATTTAAATTTTATTTATTTATTAAATTTATACGCCTCCCATCTCGCAGCAGTCTAACCCTAACCCAGTGGTGACGAACCTATGGCATGCGTGCCAGAGGCGGCACTCAGAGCCCTCTCTGTGGGCATGCACGCCATGCCCCGGAAATGGCAACTGTCTCTCTTCAACCAGCCGCCCGCTAACTCCGCGAGGTTCCACATGGCCGGATGTATCCCGGCATGGTTGGTTTCCTCCCCCCCCCGTCCCATCCCTCCTGGCTTTGCATGTTCTCCTTTTCCCGGGCACGACCCACTGTCGGCCAGCCGTCCAGCTCAGAGGCAGCTTCTTTGAACTGCTGGCGGCGGGCTGTGGAGCCCCAGAGTGTGCCAGTCAGGGGCTGGCAGGCTGTGGCTGCTGACGGACACTATTGGCCCCCATGCACTCACTGGCCTCTGTGTGCGAGGGCCAATGGTGTCAGGCAGCAGCCACCCTGGCCCCTGCTTCGCCTTGCCCTGCGGCAATGGTACCCCTGCTCTGCCTCGCCTTGCCTCGCCTCACCCCTCAGGATGAGTCTCCTGCCTACCGCCCCACCTGCCAGAGACCCCCTGGATCTCCCCCAACCCTGCCCGGCCTCCACAGGCATCCCTCCCCATGAGCAACATCAAGGTGACCGCGCCCACCTTGGCCACACCCACCCAGTCTGCCATGACCACAGTCACACCCACCCAGTGGGCCACGCCCACCTGGCACCCGGCGATAAATAAGTGGGTTTTGGGTTGCAGTTTGGGCACTCTGTCTCTAAAAGGTTTGCCATCACTGCCCTAACCCTAGCTCGCAGTTTTTTTAAAAAAATAGTTTATTCCTGTCTGTTCAGCAACGTGGAAGAGGAAGAGGAATAGGCTATTTTTAAAAAAGACTAATAAAGATTAATGTGATTGACAAGAGTCCTGATGTAGTTTGCATCAGTTCTGTTATCATGAACAGCCCTAACAAGTATCCTCAGAATTGTATCTCAGTAAGCTAATTGGCCTCCTGAAATAGAGTCTTTGGTGTCTTTATTGTCCTCATCGGGAGGTTTTTCTTTAGGCCAGTGGTTCTCAACCTGTGGGTTGGGACCCCATTTGGGGTCAAACGACCATTTCATGGGGGTCGCCAAACAACGCAGTCCGCCATTTTTCCCCCCTTTTCCATAGCTGTGCTACTCCCTTTTATTCTATTGGCTTTTGAAAGCCAATAGAATAGACTCTCTTGAATTAGAGTCTAATTCTATTGGCTTTCAAAAGCCAATAGGAATTGTCCAGGCTGTCTCTGCCCTGCTGAGCCCACCAAAAGCCCCATTCTGCAAACGGTGCTGCACCAGTTGAGTAGTCCTTGACTACTTGTTGAGTAGTCCTTGACCGGTTAAGTAATCCTCAACTTATGACTGGTTGGGGGGGGGTCGCAGCATTAAAAAGGTTGAGAACCACTGCTTTAGGCGAAGGAAATTGAGGGAGGAGGTTCATTCTCAGAGCTTGTGGGTTGGTTTCCGAATTTTCATTATCAGGCTGCGTAACTTCTTCAGCAGGATTTAGGGGATGTCCCTTCACAAGACCCTCACTTGACACAAACCACACGTGACCCATTACAAGACCCTCACCAGACATGACCCTCACCTGACGTGATCTCCCTGTCACAAGACCTACTGACCACATGAAGCCCTTATAAGCAGAAGAACACTGACATCCCATAAACTCCATTGAAGATGTTAACTAGCCTGGTAACGAAATGTTTGGAAACAGACCCAGAAGCTCAGAGAAGGAACTTCCGCCCTCACCTTACACCTAAGCTGTAGATATTCGACATTATTGCACAGGAAATTGTTAAGGTTAGGACCCCACAGTTCAACCCTTCTCTTCTATTGGTACAACTTGCTTAAGCTAAAACAGGAGTCAAATATCAACCCAGCGCGCCAGTCGGAGTTAGGTTCTAGCATGGCACATTCTTTGCTCTATGACAGTGATGGCGAACCTTTTAGAGACTGAGGGCCCAAACTGCAACCCAAAACCCACTTAGGCATCATCGGGTGCCGGGTAGCCATTGGCTGGGTATGGCCCATTGGCTGGGTGTGACCAATTGGGTAGGTGTGGCCCATTGGGTGGGCGTGGCTGCAGTGGTAATGGCAGACTGGGTGGAACTAAAAAGTTCAATCAATTCCAACTTTGCAAGATCTTTTTTTTTCCCTGCAAGAAGTTGAAATTGATTGATTGAACCTTTTTTTATTTTTTGTACACGGCGGCAAAGGCCTAAAGCGAAAAGGTTTTATAAAACCCAGCTGAAGGCCTAGGACTGGGGCGATGGCACACGTGCCCACAGAGAGGGCTCTGAGTGCCGCCTCTGGCACCCGTGCCATAGGTTTGCCAACAAAGCTCTACGAATTTCTTTTTTTCTTATTAAAAGTTTTAATTTTATACAATATATATCCCAAATCCCTCCCCTCCCCCACTTCCCAGAGCTTATTACAGGGTTACAAATAAACAATCATAATCTAACATTACCCAACTATACAAACAATCAAATCCATAACTCCTTTTCAAAATAAATATTAACAAATTAAAAACGAAAATAATAATATAATTAAACCATAATACTAAAACTAATATAAATTCAACCATATTAAACTATTAATAATAATCTAAAATTTACTCATAAGCTAGATAATACTTTTTAGTCTCATATTTATTCTGAATATAATCTATCCATCTTCTCCAAACCGAGATATATCTTTCTTGTGAATAGTCCTTCAAATAAGTGGAAATTTTTGCCATTTCTGCTAAATTAGACACCTTAAGTATCCATTCTTCCATAGTAGGCAAAGAATCTTTCTTCCAATATTGCCCCACCAATAATCTTACAGCTGTTATAAGATTCAACATCAAATTAATTTCTTTAACATCAAAATCTACAATAACACCTAACAAAAATAATTGTAGCTCTACGAATTTCTGTTTAGAGGGGAACTTCTAGGAAAAAAAATCTAAAATTCTGAATTTTGAAATTAGGATTTCAACGATCTTACTTAATAAATAGCCCAGATCACACTCCCCACTTCATTCTGCAGCAGATTTAACTCTTATGTGCTGCTCCATTCATTCACACATGGGTGCAGCTGTGGTTTAGTGAGCTTATTAATATTCCCCAGCAATTCCCTTGACCAAAAACTCAGAGCTGTCCAAGGTTAAGTCCAGCCACAGCAGGCCAAGGTCTAATAGTCCACAAAGCAATTGAAAGTTGCTCAAAAAAAATAACTCCACTAGGCAAAAGTTAAATCCACACCTCACGTGGCAAGAAAAGTTCAGAGTCTTCAAGGCACAATTCCAAACACAGTGTCAATCCAAAGTAAAACAGGAATCATGGCAATCAAACAAATAGATTGAAAACTAGCACGTAGTTCTTCCAAGCAACACCTCCCTCTGTCTGCTGTGATAAATAGCCAGCTTTCTAGTGCAACCCATCAAGACAGGCAGGGTCTTCTCTTCTCGAGTAGTCTGGCTGGCCTTCACTGCTCCGGCCTTTTCTCTGCCCTGCATGTTCTTGGATCAGACGCAGAGGGAAATTCCTCCTCCTCCTCTGCTGGCCGTCTGCCACTCCAAATCTCTTCCAGATGGCTGTTCAGAGCCATCAATGAAGCCAGTTCCTGATGTGCCAGGAATGGGCTCAGTGTCAGGGCCCACTTCAATACCTCATCCTAAGAAAGTAGAACTCGTGGAAGTTTGGTTTCTTTCAAAAGGAGCTTTTATTAGGAGAAGTTGATAGCAGGCATAATAGACAGGATCTGAGGGTTTCCCGCCAGATCGATAGGTAAAAAGCAGGGCTTTTTTTTCTCATAAAACACCCAGAACGGAGTTCTGGCACCTTTTTTGGATGGAACCTTGTAGAGTAGGCAAGGCGGGTTGCATGATGTGCGTGAGTTCCGTACCTTTTTTTTTTTTTGGGAAAAAAAGCACTTGTAAAAAGTATCCGAAGCATAAATCCACCCCATAGTTCATCCGGTCAGTTCAAACAGGCCAATCCCAAGGGGTTAAGTTCGTTGAGGGGAAAAGGAGATAATATCAGGCCGTCTCCGGCTTCAGCGATGTTTAGGCGGCTCTTCGCACCTTCCCTTGCGAATGCAGAGATAAAAAAGTTGCTCAAGGTACATTCCATTCTCCTCCCCCCTTTACTAGCTGACAAATGGAGAGAAAGTTCACAGAAGAAATATGCAGAAACAGCAAAGTGTTACATAGTAGCGATAGAGCAGACATGTAAACACAAGGCCTGGGTGCCGGATGCGGCCCGCAAAGTAGTTTCATGTGGCCCGCGAAGCCATCCTGGAAACAGTGAGGGAACGGCCCCCACTGCCTTGGCCCTGGCCCTGGCCCAGGCCAGCCGGGAGCCAATGTACAATTTTGTGGTGGCCATCTATGCTGAAACGCATTCAGTCTTAGCTCCACAAGGCCGTCTGGAAACAGCGAGGAACCAGCCCCTGCCGCATCGGCCCCGCCTCCTGGGTGCATGCTGGGGAGGTGTCACCCTTTGTGAGGAATGAAGAAATGCACCATGCCTTGGCGCTTGCCCTGGTCCCACCCCCTTCTCCCAGAGACCCTCAGATCTGTCCCACTCCTGCCTAGGCCTCCACAGGCACCCTTGACATGAACGATGTAGAGCTGGCCCTGCCCACCCAGTAGGCCACACCTACTCCATCCACGCCCACACAATAGGCCACACCCACCCTGGCCACACACACCCGCCTCCCCCGAGGGCAACCCCAATGCTGATGTGGCCCTCAATGAAATTGAGTTTGACACCCCTGCGATAGAGGAAACAAGGCAATAATAAGGCACTCCCCCCTCCCCTCTAGGAGTATGAAGAACCCAGGGAGAGAAGAGAATGCAATTCGGGTTTAGAAAGGAGGAAAAAAGGAAAATGCCCTTTAAAATATGGGTTCTGACACCCAGCCTCCTCTGAGCTGACCTCTGAGGAGGAATCTGGGAGTCACCCAAGGGAGACGTCACACTCTAGCAGGCCAATTTGACAACAGCATTTCCCATGAAATGGATCACAGCTGTCCTCTTTTCATTTTTTGTTTTTTTAACATGATGGTTTTCCACCCTGCAGGTGACTATCTCTGTACCGCAGCCAGAGCAGCAGTCCGATATCATCAAAGTCACTGGCTTGGTCCCCAACGTGGAGCGAGCCAAGACCGGCCTCCTGGACAGGGTCAGAGAGCTGCAGGCTGAGCAAGAAGATCGGGTACTTCCCTTTAAAAAAAAATAAAAAAAAAAGTTTTAAAGAAGACATAAAAACAAGCGCAAATTAATACCAGGTAGAGGGAGGGAATGAAGGAAGAATCGGAATGAGGGAGGAAGGAAGGAAAGCACGATAAGAAAGAGTAAAAAGAAGTAGAAGCTGCTTCTGATTTCCTCTGTAGCAAATATGAAATATCTCTATGATTACCAAAAAGAGATCAGTCAGAATTTGCCCGGGGTCTCCCACAAAGAGTGGCAGCTCCCCCCCCCCCAAACTTGCTGATTTCCTCTCCTCTCCAGGCCCTGCGAGGGTTCAAGCTGACGGCGAGCGTGGAGCCCAAGTACCATCCCAAGATCATCGGCAAAAAGGGGGCTGTCATTTCCCAGATCCGCAAGGACCATGATGTCACTGTCCAGTTCCCCGACAAAGGGGATGAGCATCAGGTGGGAAGTCTCTTCCCTCTTTGAGTGTGTGATCTCAGGGAGGGGCCGAAAAATACCTAGCTGGCATTCCAATGAGGCGGATCACGTTTCACACAGAAAGCAAAGATTGCTTAGCCCCCCCCCCTTCCCTTGCCAAATTGCTAACTCCAAATGGGGCTACTCAGTTTCCTGGCTTGATTGATATAAAATACATAAGGATAAAACGGGAGCTTGCCAAGGGCTGAGACCCCTGAATAGAATTAGAGTTAGAATTAGAATAGAATAGAATAGAATAGAATAGAATAGAATAGAATAGAATCAGAGTTGGAAGGGACCTTGGAGGTCTTCTAGACCAGTGGTTCTCAACCTTTTTAATGCCGCGACCTCCAACCGATCGTAAGTCGAGGACTACTCAACCGGTCGTAAGTCGAGGACTACTCAACTGGTGCAGCACCGTTTGCGGAATGGGACTTTTGGCGGGCTCAGCAGGGCAGAGACAGCCTGGACAATTCCTATTGGCTTTTGAAAGCCAATAGAATTAGACTCTATTCAAGAGAGTCTATTCTATTGGCTTTCAAAAGCCAATAGAATAAAAGGGAGTAGCACAGCTAAGGAGAAGGGGGGAAAAATGGCGGACTGTGTTGTTTGGCGACCCCCGTGAAATGGTCATTCGACCCCAAATGGGGTCCCGACCCACAGGTTGAGAACCACTGTTCTAGACTAACCCCCTGCTCAGGCAGGAAACCCTATACCATTTCAGACAAATGGTTGTCCAGTCTCTTCTTAAAAACCTCCAGGGTTGGGAGCATTCACAACTTCTGGAGGCAGGTTGTTCCACTGGTTAATTGTTCTAACTGTCAGGAAGTTTCTCCTCAGTTCTAGGTTGCTTCTCTCCTTGATTAGTTTCCATCCGTTGCTTCTTGTCTACCTTCAGGCGCTTTGGAGAATAGCTTGACTCCCTCTTCTTTGTGGCAGCCCCTGAGATATTGGAACACGGCTATCATGTCAGCCCTGGTCCTTCTCTTCATTAAACTAAACATACAAGAAAATGATTTCTCTTTCTTGCTGCTTTCATGCCCACTCTGCCTCCTCTAAGGACCTCATCACGATCACTGGCTACAAGAAAAACGCCGAGGCTGCCCGAGACGCCATCTTGAAAATCGTGGCAGATCTTGAGGAGATGGTCAGCGAAGATGTCCGCCTGGATCACAGAGTCCATGCCCGGATCATCGGTGGGAGAGGCAAAGCTATCCGCAAGCTCATGGAGGAATTCCGGGTAGGGGGTCTCTGAGGCTTTAGGGCCAGGTGGGAGACAGCGCAGGGGGCGTTCCCCTCCCAGGGGATTCTGGGAAAGAAGTCACAAAGCCGCGGTGCCTCATCTCCGTTTCTGCTCTGTCCATCTACTATAGGTAGTCCTCGACTTACAACAGCTCATTTAATGACCGTTCAAAATTACAACGGCACAGACCTATGACCGTTTTTTCACACACTTGACGACCATTGCAGCCTCCCCATGGTTACGTGATCGAAATTCAGAGGCTTGGCAACTGACTCATACTTATGACGGTTGCTGTGTCCCCGGGTCACGTGATCCCCTTTGGCAAGCAAAGTCAATGGAGGGGAAGCCAGATTTTCTTTAACAGCCGCGTTTCTAACTGAACAACTGCAGTGATTAACAACTGTGGCAAGAAAAGTCGGAAAACGGGGCACAGTTCCCTTAACAAACCGTCTTGCTTACCACAAGGACCGGCTGAGTGAAATGGTAGCCAGAGTTTTGTTGTTGTTGTTGTTGTTTTCTTTCTGGGTGGAAAAGAAAATCAACTCGCCTTGCTAAAAAGTAACATCTTCTTCGGATGGAGCTCGGCTTTGTGCGTTTGTTTGGGCCACTGGAGGACAGATGTGACTGGCTCTTATTTTAAGTGTCCAGTTTGGGATTTTAAAGCTCTGGGATTTTCTCAAGTCAACTTTTGGAGACCAGCCAAGATCAGGAAAAGGGTCACCTTGTTTCAGAAGAGCTTTTTCTTCTCGGCAGGTGGATATCCGTTTCCCGCAGCCGGGTTCCAGTGACCCGGACAGAGTCACCGTGACGGGATTGCCTGAAAACGTGGACGATGCCATTGACCACATGCTTAACCTGGAAGAGGAATATGTGAGAAGGAATTTGCATGGGTTTGGGGGTGTGTGTGTGAGAGAGAGAAAGAGAGATGGGGAAACTGATTAGAAAACGGTTGAATGAACAGAGTAGAAGGGATCTACATCTATTTTCTCATCAGCTGTACAGCCACTGGGGGACACTTTTTGAGACCAGATTCCCAATGAAAAACCTTTTCCCAAGGTTGCTGCTCGATGTCCCCGCCTCACCAGCGTAGGCCGAGACAAGAAAGCAATTCCACAAGACAGTTAAAATTACTTTGGTTATTATTGGCTAGCTCAGTGATGGCGAACCTTTTAGAGACCGAGTGCCCAAACTGCAACCCAAAACCCACTTACGTATAGTTGGGTGCCAGGTGGGCGTGGCCCATTGGGTGGGTGCAGCCCATTGGGAGGGCGTGGCTGTGGTGATAACGGCAGACTGGATGGGACTAAAAAGTTCAATCAATCAATTCCAACTTTGCAGCATTTCTTTTTCCCGTGAAAAGTTGAAATTGATTGAATCTTTTTTTTTGTTTTTTTGCACATGACGGCAGAGGCCTAAAGTGAAAAGGTTTTATAAAACCCAGCTGAAGACCTAGGACTGGGGCGACGGCGCATGTGCCCACAGAGAGGGCTCTGCATGCCACCTGTGGCACCCGTGCCATAGGTTCGCCACCACGGGGCTAGCTGCTTTTCTTCCTCTTTTGCCACTACTGTATTTTCCCCAAAACAAGACCTAACTGGAAAATAAGCCCTAGCATGATTTTTTTTCAAGATGCTCGTAATATAAGCCCTACCCCCAAAATAAGACCCATTTAAGATTATCAGACAGACGGACACATTTAATACCGTATTTGCCCCCAAATAAGATCTAATGCATCTTTTGGAGCAAAAATAATATAAAACCCAGTCTTATTTTCAGGGAAATATAGTAGTTACAGGTAGAATCATTAACTGCAGCTTCCACAACACCCCTGCCTGATCAGCAGGTGCATTTGAACAAAAGAGTAAGCTTGCTTAATCTTAGTCTTGGCTGGGTTTTGCAAACAGCTTGGCCTGTTCCACAGATCCAACCTGTTCATAAGTTTAACGCTTGAGTGCGTGGTGAGATCTTTGACAATGGCAGGGTTTCGGTAATCCAGTTGTGTGGTGTGAAAGTAGCAATTGCATATTTTGGGCACGCATCCCCCAAACCCAGTGCGCAAAGGAAATGAAATACCTGTTATTTTGCACCTTGAATGCCTCTTCAAGCAAGAGCAGGAAGGAGGACGTGGTGCCAGCTGCCTGCAGGGCAAGGCAGTTAAGTGGCCATATAATAACCGGCATGGATCAGTCTGAAGGTTTGTTGTTTACAAAGCACTCAGCCTCACAGTCTCTTGTGACATGACAGTTGTGATGTATTTCCGATTCTAGTGGTAGACTCCAAAAGCAGCTGTCTGCTTCTTTTGAAGAAAAACTCTGTGCTGGTTTTCTTTAGAGGGTAAGAAAAGGCATGACTTTCCCATTCCAAAAATAAAATCTCTCCCTCCCTCCCTCTCCCTCTCTTTCATATCTCTGTCTACTTGTATCTATCTGTCTGTCTGTCTATCTATCTATCTATCTATCTATCTATCTATCTATCTATCTATCTATCTATCTATCTAACCTCCCTAGCTCTATCATCTGTCTATCTATCTATCTATCTATCTATCTATCTATCTATCTATCTATCTATCTATCTATCTATCTATCTATCTATCATCATCTCCCTATAGATGGTAATCTAGCTATCTAGCTATCTTCTGTCTTCTATCTAGCTATCACCTATGAATCATCTGTCATCTGTATTATCTATCAATCTATTATCTATATGTTTCTATTTATCATTAATTTATATTATCTCAACCTATGATCTATTATCTATCTATTGTCTCTTTATCATCTGTCTTTCTCTATCTATATATCTTTATCTACCTATCAAATTTATATAGCTGCCCATCTCACAGCAAAACAAAAATTGGGGAGTTACCGTCTACAGGCCAGGAATCTTTGAATACATCAATGCTGTCTTTTCTGGCTCTTTAACGGACAGCTGTCTCATTGCAGATGATGGATGTGGTGGAAACGGAAACCATGGCTGCATATATGAAGCCCCCCTCCCGCTTGGAAGAGGAGCCTCGGGGCCCTGCCAAGGGCTTTGTAGTGCGTGACGCTCCCTGGAACGCTTCTGGGAACAAGGTTGGCAACACAACACCGCCTGGGGTCCCTCCTTCATGGGTAGCCCCTTAGCTTGACCAGTTGACCAGATCTTGATAAAGAGTTGGAGGACTCAAGAGATCCATCTCCCTAGTTCAGGGATAGGCAACCTTGGCTCTTTTATGACTGGTGGACTTCAACTCCCAGAATTCCTGAGCCAGCATGGCTCAGCTTGGAAACCTCTCCCTTTCCCCTCAGCATGGCTGGCTCAGGAATTCTGGGAGTTGAAGTCCACGAGTCATAAAAGAGCCAAGATTGCCTACCCCTGCCCTAGTTCCAAATTATTTGTGGTTGATCCCACAGTAGCCAGATATTTATAGATTGAATTTGGCATTTTTATCCCCCTGTTGAGTCCTTCCCAAAGACCCAGGATAGGCAGATGGGCTACATTACAGGTGGTCCTTGACGTTCAGCAGTTCGCTTAGTGACCGTTCGAAGTTACAACGGCAATGAAAAAAGTGACTTTATGACCCTTTTTTCACACTTAATGACCGTTGCAGCATCCCCCACGATCCCATGATTTGCATTCGGATGCTTGTCGACTGACTCGCATTTACGACCACTGCAGCGTCCCGGGGTCACATGATTTCCCCCCCCTTGGGCGATCTTCTGACTAGCAAAGTCAACGGGGAAAGCCAGAATTCACTTAACGACCGTGTGGCTAACTTTAAACCGCTGCAGGGATTCCCTTAACAACCACTGCAGCGAGAAAAGTCGTAAAATGGGGCCGAACTCGCTTTACAAATTTCTCACTGACCGAGCAACCTAAACTTTGGGGCTCCGTTGTGGTCGTAAGGTTGAGGATTATCTGTACTGTTGTCGTTGTTTTGAGAAATGTGAGGTCTTGGGATTTGAAAAGCAAATATAAGTAGTCCTTGACTTAACAACAGTTCGTTTAGTGACCGTTCAAATTTACAATGGCATTGGAAAAAAAGCAACTTAACGGCCGTTTTTCGCATGGCTGTTGCGACTTTCCCAGGGTCACGTGACTAAAATTCAGACATTTGGCAACAGACTCGTATTTATGGCAGTTGTAATGTCCAGGGTTGGGGGGGTCAGGTGATCCCCTTTTGTGACCTTCTAACCCACAAAAAAAATGGAGGAAGCCAGATTCACGTAACAACTGTGTTACTAACTTCACAACCGTGGTGATTCACGGTTGTGAAATTAGCACAATTGGCAAGAAAGGTCATCAAATGGGCCACAACTCCCTTAACAAATGCCTCCCTTAGCCACAGAAACGTTGCGCTCAGTTGTGGTCATAAGTTGAAGGACTACCTGCGTTGTGTGGAACGCACGAGGCATGTTTAATTTCTTAAGCTTCCCACTGAACAAAGCACCCCATCATTTATTCCTCATTCACCTCAGAGCTTCTGCTCTTGGCCCGTCATCTAAAACAGTGGTTCTTAACCTTTTTGAATGAATCGCCCCCTTGAGCCAATGAGGAAGTTGTCATCGCCCCCCTCTCAATCACAACATAAGAAATAATTCTTCAATTTATGCAAACACTTGTTTTGTTTTCTTTAAAATTGTCATCTGGACATATCGGTGTAAATAATTTATTTCCAGTCTTTTTCCCATATCTCAACTGTGTGAAAAATTTTGGTGCCACACGTCACTTTATTCCCAAACTTTGTGATCCATGTATTTCATTATTATCTTATTTATTCAAGTCACTTAAATGTAATGACCACTGAAGACAAAATTCAATGGCAAGAAAGTGAAATGCCCGAAAAGAAAAACAGTAACATTTAATGATTGAATCACAAGTGAAATTTAAGACGCAAAAAGAAATATAAAAAGGGCATAAGAACAAACCGCAATGCACATAAATATGCGTATTCACATACGTATGGCGTTCTGTACTGAAGCTAGCTGGAGGAACATTTGAAAACACAATTCAATCCACTAATAGCGAGCGAGCTGATGTTTTTGTACGACAGATATGCAGCGATTCACTGTATGAAAAAGTCTCAAAAGTGTCCCCAAAACGTCTCGCTCCATTGCCCCCATATCGCCACCTTTCTGTTGCTTCGCCCCCGCGTTGCCCCTTTTCATTCCATTGCCCCCCTGAAAAATGAAATCGCCCCCTGGGGGGCAATATCGCCCAGGTTAAGAACCACTGATCTAAAAGACAGTAAGCCTGGAAGGAAGAAGGGGGGGGGGGAAATAAACTCAGCAATTGAGTTTTTCCTTTTTTTTTTCACTGTTAAGTTCTTACCCCTGACCGGAATAGATATACCATATTTCCCTGAAAATAAGACCTAACCAGAAAATAAGCCCCTAATGTGGTTTTTCAGGATGCTCGCGATATAAGCTCTTCCCCCCAAAATCAGCCCCAGTTAAGATCGCCAGGCAGATGGACACATTTAGTACGTCCATTGCAACACACGACAGACGTATTGAATGACAAAATAATATAATTATAAATATTATTGACATTATTTACTTGTGAATAAATGTAGATTATTGACATTATTTACTTGTGAATAAATGTAGATTGTTGCACATGAAATGAATTAAGACATCAGCTGAACATAAGCCCTAATGCAGTGGTTCTCAACCTCTGGGTCGGGACCCCATTTGGGGTCGAACGACCATTTCACGGGGGTCGCCAAACAATGCAGTCTGCCATTTTTTCCCCTTTTCCTTAGCTGTGCTACTCCCTTTTATTCTATTGGCTTTTGAAAGCCAATAGAATAGACTCTCTTGAATAGAGTCCAATTCTATTGGCTTTCAAAAGCCAATAGGAATTGTCCAGGCTGTCTCTGCCCTGCTGAGCCCGCGAAAAGTCCCAGTCTGCAAACAGTGCTGCACCAGTTGAGTAGTCCTCGACTTACGACCGGTTGAGTAGTCCTCGACTTACGACTGGTTGGGGGTCGCGGCATTAAAAAGGTTGAGAACCACTGCCATAATGCCTCTTTTGGAGCAAAAATTAATATCGGACAACGCTCTTATTTTCGGGGAAATGCGGTAGTTGAAACAAGGGAACTAGCTTTGCATCAGCTGCGCTAACTTATGTAGCACAGATCATCCGAAGCGTCCCCTTTCATTTTGGAGTACGGAAAGAAAGCACCCGCTCTGAACTCCACTCTCCTATTTTCGTTTCAGGCCCCCGACGTGAGCAGCGCCGAAGAGTTCCCCATTTTTGGCACCGGCGTGGTCCCTAAGCAGGCATCGGTTTGGGGCCCTAAGAAGTTTTGAGGTCAGGGACCACCACCACGGCTGGCTCTCCGGGCAAGGCCTCGGGGGGCGGGGGGGGCACTGTGGCACCCTCAGCTTCCTGCCGCCAGCTGCCTCTTGCTGTCCAAGACTCTCTCCTCTTCTTCCTCCTCCTCCTCCTCCTCCTCCTCGCCTGCACTTCTCTCCGTGACTCTGCAAAACCATTAACCGATCAAAAAAGCCATAGCCTCCCTCCTGTTCCTTTCTTCTCATGGAGCCAAAAGTAGGCCAGGTTGTAAGCACACATATGTAAAGGAGCCTCGTGCAGCTACTGGGGTTCTCCTCCCTCTTCATTTGCCAGATTTAAGGGCATTAAACTCCTAGCTAGATCCCGCTTCCGCCTCTCAGTTCCAAGAAAGGAGTAAGGCACCCAACTTTTCTTAGCCGGTTCCTTCTCCTCCCGGGGTGCTGAGCGTGGGCGTGCATCCAGATCTCCTGGAAGAGGTTTTGGGGGGTTCGGACTCGCTGAGGTTGAAGCACAGTTCCTCTTCGCCCACTCAAACCACCGCTGTCTGCTTTCGGATGCCAGGAGCAGCTTAATCTTGGCTTGTTTTCCTGGCCCCCGTTGGTGAATTTGGAGCTGGGGAGGAGCAAAGCATCGTTGCAAGGAGAAAGTGTGTATGTGAAGATCTAGGAACAAGATTCTGGCTTGGTGTGGGTGGAAGTCCCACTTTAGAAGCAGGTAGCACTGAGAAACTTTGGCAACTAGCAGCCTTCCTCCTTCTCCTCCTCCTCCCTTTTTCACATCCTTCTGGAGTCTGGGAATGTTTTTTAATATTTTTTTTCTCTTCTTCCTCCATTTTCAGCTGTTTCCCATCTCCTTTCCCGCCCCCCCCCCCAGCTCCCCATTTCTTCCCTTCCCTGTGTCTTCTTTCCACTTTCTTTGAACCGTGTCGGGGAAAATATGCAACTCTTGGCCCAAGAGGCAGAGATTCTCTTTGACTCTCCTTCCCTTTCAGTGACTAGTCCTCATCCTCCTTCCCAGGTTTTAAACTGTGATTTCTCGAGTGAGAGAGAGAGTGTGTGTGTGTTTGAGTGTGTGTCCACACAAGAGTAAACGAGAATGGCGAAGATGCGAGTTAAGACCCGCCCCCCCCAGCTCCATCTCTCCTCCCCCTCGTCCCCCACATCCAGGTTGCCCTATCTGTGCGTGACGGGGCACACAACGTAACAAGTACAAAAAAAAAAAAAAAGGAAAAAGAAACATAACCTAGCGGAGCGACATAAACCGGTTTCTCATTTTTCTTTTTTTTTCTTCTGAAGAAGGCAGGGTTTGGGGGAGAAATGAAAATATGACGAAAATCAGAAGACACTATTGGCCTTAAACAGGAAACAACAACAACAACGGGGTGGGGCATAAGAGGGAGAGAAAAAAAAGAAACTTAAGTTTGACAAAAGGAAATATGCAAACTCTGTAGGTCACACAGTGACCGGAATTTTTTTTTTTTCTAATTCCAAATTAAAAAAAAAAAACTGTGAGGGAAATAAAATTCTTTGGGTGGATTTTTGATGCGCCAGTCAAGCTGCCTGGAGGGGTCTTTTGGCTTTCTCCAGGCTGAAAGGGAAATCCAACTTGTCGTAGCTGCTGTTCTTCTGTTGCCATTCCGGTGGAGAAACGAATACAGACAGTCCTTGACTTACAACCATTTAGTGGCCGTTCGCAGTTACAAAGGCACTGAAAAAAGGTGACTTAGGACCATTTTCGCACTTAACGACAGTTGCACCGTCCCCATGTTCATGTGATTGATATTCAGATGCTTGAAAGGGGGTTCACATTTACGACGGTCGCCGCGTCTCGGAGTCATGCGATCCCCTTTTCTGACAAGCAAAATCAAGGGGGGAAGCCAGACTCACTTAACAACCATATTACTAATTTAATAACAATTTAACAATGGTATAGGGCAGCGGTAGGCAACCTTGGCTCTTTTATGACTGGTGGACTTCAACTCCCAGAATTCCTGAGCCAGCCATGCTGAGGGGAAAGGGAGAGGTTTCCAAGCTGAGCCATGCTGCTCAGGAATTCTGGGAGTTGAAGTCCATGAGTCACAAAAAGAGCCAAGGTTGCCTACCCCTGTCCTATATCATTTCAGAGAAGTGACTGTCTAGGACAGTGTTTCTCAACCTTGACAATTTTAAGGCATGTGGACTTCAACTCCCAGAATTCCACAGCCAGCATTGCTGGCTGTGGAATTCTGGGAATTGAAATCCACATGCCTTAAAATTGTCAAGGTTGAGAAACACTGGTCTAGGACAAGGGTCTTCAAACTTGGTTCTTGTATGACTCATGGACTTCAACTCCCAGAATTCCTGAGCCAGCCACGCTGAGGGGAAAGGGAGAGGTTTCCAAGCTGAGCCATGCTGGCTCAGGAATTCTGGGAGTTGAAGTCCACGAGTCATAAAGGAGCCAAAGTTGCCTACCCCAGCTATAGGGTTTCCTGCCTGAGCAGGGGGTCGGACTAGAAGACCGCCAAGGTCCCTTCCAACTCTGTTATCCTATTCTAACTGCAGTGATTCAGTTAACGAACGTGACAAGAAAAGTCATAAAATGGAGCAAAACCAATATCTCACTGAGCAACCATCACACAATCAATTTTCGGACGCTTGGCAACTGGCATGCAAGGTTAGTCCTTGACTTAACGACCAGAACTTCCTTTGCTAAGCCAGGCAGTTGTTAAAAGGGAGCTTCATCCTATTATATGGTCCTTCTCCCCCCCCCCCATTGTTTAATTGAATCACTGGTTGTTAAATAAACCGTGCTGTCGTTGACGTGGAATCCAAATTCCTCCATTGACTTTGCTTGTCACATGTGAGCGGGGAAGATCACAAATGGCGAGCCCATGTCCCCATCACAGCACAACCATCATAAATAGACAGACTTGAACACTGGGCACTATCTAATAAAATGAAATTCAGTGGTGAAAAAAATAAGGTTCTATATTTAGGCAAGAAAAACCAAATGCACAAATATAGCGTAAGGGGTACCTTGCTCAATAGTAGTAACTGTGAGAGGGACCTCGGAGTCCTAGTGGACAATCACTTAAATATGAGCCAGCCGTGTGCTGCAGCTGCCAAAAAGGCCAACACAGTGCTAGGCTGCATTAACAGAGGGATAGAATCAAGATCACGCGAAGCGTTAATACCACTTTACAATGCCTTGGTAAGGCCACACTTGGAATACTGCATCCAGTTTTGGTTACCACGATGTAAAAAAGATGTTGAAACTTTAGAAAGAGTACAGAGAAGAACAACAAAGATGATTAGGGGACTGGAGGCTAAAGCATATAAGGAACGGTTGCTGGAATTGGCTATGTCTAGTTTAATGAAGAGAAGGACAAGGGGGGACATGATAGCAGTCTTCCAATATCTCAGGGGCTGCCACAAAGAAGAGGGAGTCAAGCTATTTTCCGAAGCACCTGAAGGCAGGACAAGAAGCAACAGATGGAAACTACCGTATATGCTGGCATATTAGGTGACCCGGCGTATAAAACGACCCCCGTCTTTATCGCCGAGCCGCATTCCTAGAACGTCGTCTTATACGCCGGAAACTACCAGTATTTTTGGCGTATAAGACGACCCCCGTCTTTGGTGCCGAGTTTAGCGCTTCCAGAAGTCGTCTTATACGCCGGCATATACGGTAATCAAGGAGAGAAGCAACCTAGAACTAAGGAGAAACTTCCTGACAGTTAGAACAATTAACCAGTGGAACAACCTGCCTCCAGAAGCGGTGAATGCTCCAACACTAGAAGTTTTTAAGAAGAGTCTGGACAGCCATTTGTCCGAAATGGTATAGGGTTTCCTGCCTGAGCAGGGGGTTGGACTAGACGACCTCCAAGGTCCCTTCCAACTTTATTATTGCCAAGCACCCAAATTTTGGTCACGTGACCAGGAGGATTCTGCAACAGTCCTAAATATGAAAACTGGTTCTGAGTCACTTTTTTTCCAGTGCTGCTGTAACTTCAAACAATCACTAAGCAAGTTGAAAGTCAAGGAGTACCTGTAGTGGCTCAGGAACAAAACTGAGGCAACTGCCTTATGTAACAGCCATCACAACGGTGTTCTTCTCAACCCTCCAAATGAAGTCTTTCCGGTCTGTTGGGAAACGCAATCCAATCTGCTTAAGAACTGCCATTTCGGTTTACAGATTTGACTCTTTAATCCTATGGGATCAAAGCAGTCAGCCGAGTTGGGACACAGAAATCAGCTATGGGCTCTGCTCAGCACTGATTCTCTGTAGGGGATCAGCCAGGACAACTCAAGCCGTTGTTTGCTTTCTGCTTTTCCCCCACTGTAATTACTTATGAAACCGGAGAGGGCCCACCAGCACAGCCAGTTATGGGTGGGTTAGGGTGCCTTTCATCTCACGAAAACACCACCAAATGCTTAAAATTGTGAGGGGGGGGCGAATTCACCATCGAGGTGATCCTTTAGCAAAAGTTGTACCTTGCTTTATCAAGTCTGTCTCGCAACAGTGTTAAATCCCAATGATCGAAAATTGTCAAGCCCTAATAAGAGTCACTTAGGTGAGATGGCTGGTTGTAGAGAAAGAAAGAAAGTTTGGTGTAGGGGTTAAGACAGTGGTTCTCAACCTTTTTAATGCCGTGACCCCCAACCAGTCGTAAGTCGAGGACTACTCAACTGGTGCAGCACCGTTTGCAGAATGGGACTTTTGGCGGGCTCAGCAGGGCAGAGACAGCCTGGACATTCCTATTGGCTTTTGAAAGCCAATAGAATTAGACTCTATTCAAGAGAGTCTATTCCATTGGCTTTCAAAAGCCAATAGAATAAAAGGGAGTAGCACAGCTAAGGAAAAGGGGAAAAAAATGGAGGACTGCGTTGTTTGGCGACCCCCGTGAAATGGTCGTTCGGCCCCAAATGGGGTCCCGACCCACAGGTTGAGAACCAGTGGGTTAAGGCATCAGAAACAAGGAGACAGTGGGTTCTAGTCCTGCCTTAAGTACAAAGCCAGCTGGGTGACCTTGGGCCAGTCACTCTTGCTGAGCCCTAGGAAGGATGCAACGGCAAACCTCTTCTGAAAATCCTCGCCAAGAAAGCTGCATGAACTAATCCAGGCAGCTACCAGGAGAAACATACACACACACACCTTCAAAAGCCATACTAGTTTTTTGTTTATGTATTAAGGAACTTGGCCGCTGCTATTTATGGCTTAGCATGTTGAAGGGACCCCCTTGTTTGTCGTTATCCAGCAAACTATGATTATGGAAACCGATTACATATACACACACGTTGAAGGTGAGTCTCACAGGTTTGCCTTGTGCAGCCCACCAAGAAGGGACAAGGGAGCTGCGATACCCACAGTAACTTTTCTGGCACTGTCTCGATTTGGCTAGTCGCCTGCCCTTTCATACATTAAGTAGCTGTTTCCGGCAAGCATGTCCCTTTCATCCCCAAATTTGTTTTTATGTTAATGCAGATGGCTTTTATCTACCACAGGAAATGCGGAAAGGAGCTTGCCAACATAAATGAAAACACCCCTGCAAATTAAAGCGGCGACCAAGAACGCAGGAAAACCTTTTTTAATTAAAAGCAAGCTCGAAAAACACGGTCCTTCCCTTGTATAAAGCGGGCTCTTCAGTTGCTAGAGAGAGAAAAATATTGTTTGAAAAACCGCAGGAGCTGCCTTTGCAGAAATGACAAAGTTGTACTCTTCGCCAGCAGGTTTGGGTGGACTTTGCCATCAACTTAAAAAGGCTGGAATGAAGTGGAAGTCCTCATCCATCTGGCCATCCACCAGGTCGATTTTTGGTCCTTCTTTAACACCCTACGGCTGCAAAAAGAGATGCTTGGCCTTAGCCAGGAGCCCTATTGCATCTCTGGCCTGGCCCAGCACCGAATTCATTTTGCCAGGTGCCTTTTGAGCCAATAATCGCCCTGGCAGAGGAAACTGAGGTTCAGACCTGGATTTCTGTGCAGAATTAAGAAGTATGGTTTGGAGCCAAGTTGTAATCAAGCATGCCTGTGGGATAGTCAACAAGCTGCTTTTACAGGCAGTTCACCACCACAACTGAGCCACAAATTTCTGTTGCTATAAGTGAATTTTGCCCCATTTTACGACCGTTCTTGCCACAATTGATCACTTAATCCAGTGGTGGGATTCAGCCGGTTCGCACCAGTTAGGTAGAAATGGTAGCTAATTTTTTTGTTGCCCAGGCCCAGAATGGACTTCTGGAAGCGACAGCCACACTGATTCTTCACATATTTGAATCCCACCACTGAATGAATCTCTACAGATGTTAAATTAGTAACACAGTTTTTAACATGAATCTGGCTTCCCCCATTGATTTTGCTTGTCAGAAAGTCACAATAGGTGATCACATGATCCCAGGGACACTGCAGCCTGTCATAAAGACAAGCCAGTTGCCAAGTGTCTTTGAGTTTTGATCATGTGGCTTATGCCACAATCTTGTGAAAAATTCTCATAAGTTGCTTTTGTTCACGGCCACTAAACAAACTTGTTGCAGGTTGGGAACTACTGTATGCCATAAACCACGCAAACACATCGGAATGTTCTGGTTATTTCATCACTTGTTTCCAGTTTATCAAACACACAATTTAGACTAAACATCCCATAATAAACTGGGGTGGGGTGGGGTGGGTGGGATGCATTTACTAAGCTAACCTCTACCAGCTCGTTTGGGGATGGATGTTTTTAAGGTGCTAAGGATGAACTTTGTACCTCAGGATCTTTGTTGTTTAAGCAAAACGCTTACATTACTTTTTCTCCATTCCAGTAGTGGGTGGATTTACACCAGGGGTTCTCAACCTTGGCAACTTTAAGACTTGTGGACTTCAACTCCCAGAATTCCTCAGCCAGCTTTGCAAAGGAATTCTGGGAGTTGAAGTCCACAAGTCTTAAAGTTGCCAAGGTTGAGAACCCCTGATTTACACAATTCTTCCGCAGTGAGCAATATCCACAATTGCACTAAGGCTTCCTATAAATGAAGAGTTTGCGGCCAGCCTCTTAGGCTGCTTCTGACGGGTGTCAAAAGTAGGCGTTGGCCCACTGTCGAGTCAAACAATGGCTTATCGAGCAAAAGGACAAAAGCGGTTTAAATCAAACCAGCTGTGATAAAAGCCAATCCGTGGTTTCTTTTGCAAAAGCCTCTCGGTCGTTTGCTAGCCTCGTCGAGGGGGGAGACTACCCTCCTTCGCCTCCAATCGGCGTCCATCCCTGGAAGCTAAGTGGCGGGCGCGCTCGGCCAAACCCGCTGCACGCATTCACACGAGACCCTGCTCAGCCCAGTCAATGCCCGGCTCCGCCCGAAACACCGAGCCCGAGCCCTAAGAAGCATTTGAACCGCCTCGGATTAAGGCGGTTCATAGGATAAGCGCGTCGGGCCGGCGCAACCCGGAGATCCTTCCCTGAGCCGGCTCCAGCTGCTCTCGCCGAGCCAGCCGGTGCGCACCGGTCGCCAAGCCGCTCCAGACGGCGGACCAGAGCCGCAGCCCGCCTCCTTCCACCTCCCCGACCCCCATCCCGGCTTCTCTGCTCACCCCTCTGCCTTTCATTCATAAAAATCTCCCCCCCCCCACCGCGCCCCGGCCGGCCGGGAAGCCTAGCGCTGCGTAAAACCCACGGCGCGCGCGGGGGCGTGGCGTCCTGGGAAGTGAGGAGCCGTTGGCCAGCCGCGCCGGTTGGGGGCGTGGCCTCGGCGGGGACCTGCGGGGAAGCGGCTGCCGGTCCGCATTCAGAGAAGCGGCTGCCGGTCGACATAGAGAAGGGGCTGCCGGTTCCGCGCACAGAGACGCAGCGGGTCGGCAAGCAGAGAAGCCGAGATTAGTTTCCCAGGCGCAGCCTCGCCTTTGCGCCCCGGCCGCGTGAGAAAAAGCCGGGAAAGCCTCTCCTCTGCCGGGGCCAGCCTCGCTTCCGAGATTGCTCTGCTCTGAACCGAACCGAGCCCTCCTCCGGCTGCTCGGCGGCCGTCCCTTCGAGGACCCGCGATCCGGGATTTCCCAGCCTTGCGTTCCCCGCTTCCCCGATCGCTCCATAACCTTCGTCGGGGTTACTGCCCTTGGTCACCCAACCGCTTTTCCTGGACCTCTCCTTGCCGCGGAAGGTCTTCTCCACGAGCCAGCCTGGCTTTCTTCTGCAGCTTTTGCTAGCTGGGTTCTCGTAATCCGGTTTCTGCTTCTCGTGTTTCTCCCCTTTGCCCCCCCTCCGTGTTCTCCCATGCTGGGGGAAAGAATCACACCCCCCCCCGGACCCTGATGGTATAACGGCCCTTTCATCCTCACCTTCATCCCTTCTTCTGGTCTTCCTGATGATGGGGCGGTCTTCTCTTTTGTAGTTGCCCTTCCCCATCCCCCTTCTTCCCCCTCCTCCTCCTCTTGACCTTCCATCCTTCACAGGGTGCTTCTTTGAACCTTCTGAGGACCTGGGGGGTATCGTCCCATTCCATGCCTCCTTAGATCCTTCAGCTGGAGCCCTCAGTTGCACTCCTTGGATTCTTCCTCTTTTGAAGAGTCTGGGTGACACTCTCTCTATAGTTTCTCTTTTCTCTTCCAGCTCCCTTCACGCCTCCTATAATGGACTTTCTTCTCAGTGGGGTGGCTGCCTGTGGGGCCTGCCTCTTTACCAACCCCCTGGAGGTGGTGAAGACTCGGATGCAGCTCCAAGGGGAGCTCCGTGCTCCTGGCACCTACACCCGTCATTATCGTAACGTCTTCCACGCCTTCTACACCATCGGGCGGGTGGACGGGCTGGCAGCCCTGCAGCGAGGACTTTCACCTGCCCTGTTCTATCAGTTTGGCTTCAACGGCATCCGCTTGGGCACCTACGGGATGGCGGAATCGGAAGGCTACATCCACAACCGGGATGGGCGGATCAGCCCGCTGCGGGCCACCTTGGCAGGAGCTTTGGCTGGTGCCGCAAGTGCCATTGTGAGCAGCCCCCTGTATCTGGTGGGTCTGAAGCTCAGAAGCATTAGAATAACAGAGAAAGAGAAATTGTCCCCACTCATTTCGGTCTGGAATCAAAGAGATGCTGGGTGGAATTCTGCCTTTCAGAATCCAGGGATAAAGAATGAATTCTGCAGATAAATCCAATGTGGGCTTTTTTAAAAAAAAAAAAAAAAAGAAAGAAAGAAAGAAAAGAAAGAAAAACACAGCAGTCACCAAAAATCTTTCCTTATAGCAGTGGTTCTCAACCTTTTTAATGCCGCGACCCCCCAACCGGTCATAAGTCGAGGACTACTCAACCGGTCGTAAGTCGAGGACTACTCAACTGGTGCAGCACTGTTTGCAGAATGGGACTTTTGGCGGGCTCAGCAGGGCAGAGACAGCCTGGACAATTCCTATTGGCTTTTGAAAGCCAATAGAATTAGACTCTATTCAAGAGAGTCTATTCTATTGGCTTTCAAAAGTCAATAGAATAAAAGGGAGTAGCACAGCTAAGGAAAAGGGGGGGAAAATGGCGGACTGTGTTGTTTGGCGACCCCCGTGAAATGGTCGTTCGACCCCAAATGGGGTCCCGACCCACAGGTTGAGAACCACTGCCTTATAGCTTTGCTATGTAGTGAGCTGCCTGGTTGGTTCTTTTTTTCCACCTGTTCCTTACTTTTACAAGGGTCAGATTTGCTACTATGCTGGTTTCATCGTGTGAGAACGTTGGTTCTTAGGTTTAAGGCAAGTTTGAACATGAGCCTTTCGCTGCTCTGATGAATAGGACAAAACACTGCTTCGGAAGAGGGTAAAGCGTTCCTGAGAGAAACACAAATATTATTTTTGAATTCATCCTCCTGACGTGTTGCTTCTTAGGATAGTTACCTTTCTCCAATCCTTTCTCCAGGTGAAGACTCACCTCCAAGCTCAATCAGCTTCTGAGATTGCTGTAGGACACCAGTATCGGCACGAGGTAAGCTGACCTTGCTCTGTAGCTTATCGCGAGAAAGTTTGTACCGTATATTCCGGCGTATAGGGCAACTTGGCGTATAAGACGACCCCCGAGTTCGACGCCAGGTCGCAAGACGATCGACGCCGAGTCGCATGCCTAGAAAGTCGTCTTATACCCCAGAAACTACCGGTATTTCCGGCGTATAAGACGATCAACGCTGAGTCGCATGCCTAGAAAGTCGTCTTATACGCCGGCAACTACCGGTATTTCCGGCGTATAAGACGATCGACGCCGAGTCGCATGCCTAGAAAGTCGTCTTATATGCCGGAAACTACATTATTTCCGGCATATAAGACGACTCGGCGTATAAGACGACCCCCAAGTTCAGCGCCTGTTTCAGCGCTCTCAAAAGTTGTCTTATACGCCGGAATATACGGGTAATTTGCTGAGGCAGAGTTTTCACTCCTCTGGCCCTCACTGTAAATTACCAGTCAGCAAGTTTGCAGGATTTTCAAAAAGGGTCTTTCTTTGCCTTTCTTAGAGGACCTCTGGAATTATTAAAAAAAGCACTACAAAAAAAAAGACAAATTAAGGTTCTAAATCAAATCTAACAAAGAGAAGGACCAAGGGTGATATGATGGCAGTCTTCCCATACTTGAGAGGCTGTCCTAGAGAAGAGGGGATTGACTTATTCTCCAAAGTACCTGAGGGCAGGACAAGAAGTAACAGTTGGAAGATTGTTAAAGAGAGAGCCAACTTAGAACTAAGAAAATATTTCCTGACAGTGAGAACAGTTAATGGAATGGCTTAACTTTGGAAGTTGTAAATACTCCGTCACTGGGGGTTTTCAAAAAGAGACTGGACAAAACATGTGTCCAGAGTGATATAGATCTCTTGCTTTAGTAGAGGGTTAGGTTAAAACAGGGATCCCCAATCCCTGGTTTGTGGACTGGTATCGGGCCACAGCATGCCAGCAACCGGTTCTCACAAACAAGCAAAGCCCCATCCGTGGGATGTAGGCAGCACACAAAACCATGCACTCTCTGGTCCGTGGAAAAACCTTTCTCCGCGAAAGCTGTCCCTGGTACCCAAAAGGTTGGGGATCTCTGGGCTAAAAGACCTCTTAAGATCTCTTCCAACCCTATTATTATCTGCAGGCCTTTTCAAAACTGGAACTAAAAAAAGATACCTCGCCACGAAATAGTCCTTTCTGAACCACTGGTTTAGAACTGAGCCCAGTTCTGCATTGGGCTCCTTCCCAGCATTATCCAAAGATGCTAGAAAATGAACTCGTGATTTGTTCTGCCACTAAATTATGCTCTCTTCCAATTTTGATGGCTGGGGAAGGAGCTTGTGCTGGGCACACCAGCCCCTTGAAGGACATCTGGCTCACCTCTGTTCCCATGTGCTGAAGAGACAGCCTCCCAGCGATGGAAACTGCTGGCAATCGTTAATATTTCAATAGCTACCATGTTGCCTGGAGCTCATTTCTCCATGCAGGTTTGCGAGAAAGCATTGTTAGCAATTCATTGGTGGTATGTCCTCAGTGTCCCGTAGGATAGCCAGAAGCTGTGGATGCTCCAACTCTGGAAGTTTTTAAGAAGAGACTGGACAACCATTTGTCTGAAATGGTATAGGGTTTCCTGCCTGAGCAGGGGATTGGACTAGATGACCTCCAAGGTCCCTTCCAACTTTATTATTATCATTACTATTGCTATTACTATTACTACTACTACTACTACTACTACTATTATTATTATTATTATTATTGATCATCGCACAGTCAGCCAGATGTTCAGACTGGATTTGGCATTTTGTCTATCTATCGAGTCCTTACTCAGGACCTGGGATAGGCAGATTGGATGTTTGATGGTATTACAGATATCATCGCAGGATGGAAACAGTTCCTAGTAAGGCCGCCTTTTGCAATTGACTAATAGCGAACTTGTCAATGCCAATGGTGTTCAAGTGGTGCTCCAGTTGTTGTTGTTGTTGTTGTTATTATTATTATAGCAAATACAAGGCAAAGATGTCATTCATTTTCCCTGCCTCCATAAATCTTCATTCTTTCCACTCCAAGTTGCACACCTAAAGAAAAACAACATAGGGTGTATGGTTCCTTAAAGACTAATCATTTTATTATACAGGTAGTCCTCAACTTATGATTCACAACTGAGACCAAAAATGTCTGTTGCTAAGAGACAGTTTTTAAGTGTGTTTTGCCCCCTTTTACGACCTTCCCTGCCAAAGTTGCTAAACGAATCACTGCAGTTAGAACACAGTTGTTGAGTGAATCTCGTTTCCCCATTGGCTTTGCTTGTCAGAAGGTCGCAAAAGGTGATCACATGATCCCGGCACACTGCAACCGTCATAAATATAAACTGGTTGCCAAGCAGCCGAATTTTGATCACGTGACTGGAGAGCTGCTGCAATGGTTGTAAATGTGTCACGTGTGGCTTTTTTCAGTGTTGCTATAACTTTGAATGGTCACTAAATAAATGGCTATAAGTTGAGGTCTGTCTGTAGAGAAAAAAAATAAATAGATATCCTGGCCAGTTGTTAGCTTCTGTTCAGTCTTTGAAAAAGCAATAAAGACATTGTCAATAAAACACACCCTCCTTTAAAAAAAATATCAAAATTTGGTGTCGTGATTAAGTGGTTCAGTTTGGTCTGTGCAGGGGTGGAGAACTATGGCCCTTTTATGACTTGTGGACTTCAACTCCCAGAACTCCTGAGCCGGCCACGCCGACTCAGGAATTCTGGGAGTTGAAATCCACAAGTTATAAAGGGGCCGTAGTTCCCCACCTCTGGGTTAAGGTAATAAGCTAGAACAGGGGTAGGCAACCTTGTCTCTTTTATGACTCGTGGACTTCAGTTCCCAGAATTCCTGGGCTACAATGGCTCAGCTTGGAAACCTCTCCCTTTCCCCTCAAAATGGCTGGCTCATGAATTCTGGGAGTTGAAGTCCACGAGTTACAAAGCGGCCTAGGCCAGAGGTAGGCAACCTTGGCTCTTTTATGACTCGTGGACTTCAACTCCCAGAACTCCTGAGCCGGCCACGCCGACTCAGGAATTCTGGGAGTTGAAGTCCACAAGTTATAAAGGGGCCGTAGTTCCCCACCTCTGGGTTAAGGTAATAAGCTAGAACAGGGGTAGGCAACCTTGACTCTTTGATGACTCGTGGACTTCAATTCCCAGAATTCCTGAGCCACAATGGCTCAGCTTGGAAACCTCTCCCTTCCCCCTCAGAATGGTTGGCTCATGAATTCTGGGAGTTGAAGTCCACAAGTCATAAAAGAGACAAGGTTGCCTATCCCTGGCCTAGAAAGTGGGAAACTGTGAGTTCTAATTCCGCCTCAGCCATGAAAGCCAACTGTTCAACTTTGGGCGTACTGCCCCAACCCACCTCAAAGGGTTGTTGCGTGGAAAATAGGAGGAAGATGTGTTGGATGTGTTTGCAACCTTGAGTTATTTGTAAAAACAATAATGGTGGGATATAAATAAAGAAATAATAAATAAAACCATGCCAGCCCAATTAGTCTTGGGCGAATTTAATTTTCTTCCGGGCTGTCAATTGCTTAAATCTCAGCTCTGGAAGTAGTAAGCAATCATCCTAGACCAGAGGTAGGCAACCTTGGCTCTTTTATGACTCGTGGACTTCAACTCCCAGAATTCCTGAGCCACTATGGCTCATCTTGAAAACATCTCTCTTTCCCCTCAGCATGGCTGGCTCAGGAATTCTGGGAGTTGAAGTCCACGAGTCATAAAAAAGCCAAGGTTGCCTACTACCCCTGTCCTAGACCTAGATAATATTTTTCTCCATTCTGTAGCAAATATTCTTACATTGCCTTGCTGGAAGTACAGAGAGGAAATGAAATCGCCATTTAAAAGGTCTTCACCAAAAAGCACGCTGTGTCATCCTGATTTGGGACCATTTCCGAGGCAAACCAGGTTAAGTGTGCAGCATATCCCTTCCCAATCCCTGATTATTCCTGCCCCAGAGCTTGGAAAGCTGCCAGTCTGCCTAGCTAATAGGGAGGTAGACTGACTAAACAGCTTCCTGGATCTGTAAAATGTGCAGCTTCTAATCTCTTATTAATACTCTGCTCTCAAAACTCGACGCTGGAAACCTCCGGTGGCCAGGCTGCTGTAAAAAACACAGCAGATTTACCTGAGAAAAGATTTGTGTATAATGTTCTCTCCTGGGACTGAAGGATTGAGAAAAGTTGGGTCTTCCACCCTGAGCCCCTATTTTGTACCTTTGCACATTCAGGTGGTCCTCAGCTTATGACCGCAATTCAGCCCAAAATTTATGTTGCTAAGTGAGATATTTGTTAAGTGAATTTTGCCCCATTTTAACGACCTTTCTTGCCACATTTGTTAAGCAAATCACTTCAGTTATTAATTTAGTCCCACGGTTGTTAAATGGGTTTGACTTCCCCATTGACTCTGCAAAAAGCAGATCACATGACCCCAGGACACTGCAACCGTCATAAATACATGCCAATTGCCAAGCGTCTGAATTTTGACCATGTGACCGTGGGGGCACTACGGTGGTTGTAAGTGTGGAAAACGGTCATAGGTCACTTTTTTCAGTGAGGCTATAACTGCCAACAGTCACTAAACGAGGATTGTTGAGGATTATATGTAGTCTCAGTCCCTATTTGCACCAAGGTGATCCTGGAAACTGAGGAACAGAATAAAGAAACCAGCAGTGTTCCTGACGGCAGGTTTTTTTTTTTTTGTTTTTTTGGGTTTTTTTGCATTTTTCTTGAACTAGATAGAATATTTGAGGTAGAGTTTAGCCAGTAAAGAATAGCAATGAAACTGACTTGTTTGTAGAAATAGGACTAGGATCAGATGCAAGCTTTCTTTTTAGATAATGAATGTATGAGATGATTTCAGAAGATGTTTGTTTCTTCTTTCTTTCTCTCTTTCTCTTTCTTTTCCTTCCTTCCTTCCATCCTTTTTTCTTCCTTCCTTCCTTCTTTTTTCTTTCTTTATTTCTTCCTTGCTTTTTCTTTCCTTCTTTTCCTCCCTCCCTCCCTCTTTCTTTCTTTCTTTCTTTCTTCCTTTTTTCTTCCCTTTCTCTTTCTTTCTTTCTTTCTTTCTCTTTCTTTCTTCCTCCCTCCCTCCTTCTCTTTCTTTCTTTCTGTCTTTCTTTCTCTCTCTTTCTTTCTTTCTTTTTCTTCCTTCCTTCCTTCCTTCCTTCCTTCCTTCCTTCCTTCCTTCCTTCCTTCCTTCCTTCCTTCCTTCCTTCCCTTCCCTTCCCTTCCCTTTCCTTTCCTTTCCTTTCCTTTCTTCTCCAAAGCACCTGAAGGCAGGACAAGACGTAATGAGTGGAAGGTCATTAAAGAGAGATCCAATCTAGAACTAAGGAGAAATTTCCTGAAAATGAGAACAATCAGTCGGTGGAATGGCTTGCCTCTGGAAGTTGTGGGAGCTCCATCACTGGAGGCTTTTAAGAACAGTTTGGACAGCCACTTGTGTGGAATGGTATAGGGCAGGGGTAGGCAACCTTGGCTCTTTTATGACTCATGGACTTCAACTCCCAGAAATCCTGAGTCAGCACCCCTGGTATAGGGTCTCCTGCTTCAGCAGGGGGTTGGACCAGAAGACCTCCAAGGTCCCTTCCAACCCCATTATTCTATGTTTTATGTTCTCTGACCTGGAGGCAAAAATGATTTCTTCCAAGACATCTGCAGGGTGGGCTTTTAGTCAAGAATAGTTCCAAATCCTGCTTGCTCCTTATTTCAAGCGGCCCAAATATTTCAACCGACAGCTTCCAACTGGTTGAGTGCTGTAATGATTATAGACATGGATGCTTCTAAATGTTATCGGTCCTTTTCTGTTGTCTGTCTAGGGAATGTTCCATGCACTGTGTGGGATTCACAAAGAACACGGTGTGCTAGGGCTGTGGCGTGGAGCCATTTCTTCCGTGCCCCGAGTCATGGTGGGTTCATCTACGCAGCTGTCAACCTTCTCCTTTTCCAAACAATTCTTCAACCACCTTGAGGTACGCTGGGCTCCTGTGCAAGAGAGCTTGTTTGAAAAGGTATAGGAGTTATAATAGAAGACTTGGATTTGGCATGGTGGGTCTAGAGCAGTGGTTCTCAACCTGTGGGTCGGGACCCCATTTGGGGTTGAACAACCATTTCATGGGGGTCGCCAAACAAGGCCGTCCGCCATTTTTTCCCCCTTTTCTTTGGCCACGCCCCTGGCACCCGGGGATGTATAAGTGGTTGGGGGTCACCACAACATGGGGAACTGTATTATGGGGTCACGGCATTAGAAAGGTTGAGAACCACTGGTCTAGAGAGAAGAAAAATTGGGATATGCATTTGATTTTGGTCTAGTCGTTAAGGCACCAAGCTAGAAACTGAGTTCTAGTTCTGCCTTAGATATGAAAGCCAGATTGTTTGGGCCAATTACCAGGATATTGTGAGTTCTAGTTCTGCCTTAGGCATGAAAGCTGACTGGCCGACTTTGGGCCAATCACCAAGAGACTCTCAGTTCTATTCCCGCCTTAGGCATGAAAGCAGCTGGGTGACTTTAGCCAAATTTTCTCTCTCTTAGTTCAGCTCCCCACACAGAATTGTTGTGGGGAAAATAGGAGAAGGAAAGAGTATTAGGTATGGTCACTACCTTGAGTTATTTATAAAAAAATAATAAAGGTAGAATAAAACTAAACTAAAATAAACAACATTTTGGAGCAATGCCAAAATATACTCTGTTTACTTGCCAAATTCAGGGTCACTTCCTCCTTATTCTTTCCAAGTCTGAGTATTAAATGTGTTTCTAATCCAGTGGCTATTAATATAGCACCGGAGCTTAAGAAGATGGATTTGTAGCTAATTTTTTTTTTCCTGCATGCATGCATGGCGTCAACTTACTCTTTATTCCAAGGAGAGCCTGCAAGTTTAAATTTAGGCTGATCGTGGCAGAAGAGACAAAATATAAATGGGGCTTTATATGAGTCCAAACTGCTGATTTGCAGGCAGAATCTAGCAGAGAATATAGAACAGAACAGGAATAGAATAGAATAGAATAGAATAGAATAGAATAGAATAGAATAGAATAGAATAGAATAGAATAGAATAGAAGATAGAAGATAGATAGAATGGAATGGAATGATGTTATGTAATGTAACGTAATAAAACAGAACAGAGAATAGAATAGAATAGAATAGAATAAAACAGAACAGAGAATAGAATAGAATAGAATAGAATAGAATAGAATAGAATAGAAAATTAGAATAGAACAGAATAGAATAAAAAATAGGGAACAGAGAACAGAACCTCAGTCCTAAGGCATAATGCTCTTTTCTTGTGGGGGATGAAACTAGCCATGGTAGGTTTATGGAAGAGGGCATTGTGACACTCACCCAGTTATAGTTTATTTGATACAGTATGAGTAAATCAATCATGGCCTAATGGGAACAGAATGCTGGCACGTTTTTGCCTCACGTGATGGAGATTCTCCATGGGTCCTTTTACTTCACAAAAAAGGTAGTGAAAGCTGGGAACCAACTTCCAGCAAACACAGTGGGTCAGTCATCAGTAACTTGAGTTTAAACATGCCTGGGATAAACATACGTCTATCATCCAACAAAAATTAAATAAATAAATAAATAAAAAAGAATAATAAAATGAAAAAAGAAAAAGTAACAATGAAAAATAATGAATAAATTAAAAAGGAAATGAAAACAAACAAACAAACAAAAAACTCAGGGCAGACTCGATGGTCCACTATGTCTTTTTGCCCCATCGGATTTTTTATGCTTCTGTGTCCCATCTAGCTTTTCCAGGAGGGCGAGTGCCTCCATTCTTTTCATATCCACAATTGTGGAGAGCTGCATTTCTCCGGTGGGTTGATCCTCTGATGCAGGGGTCCCCAACGTCCGCTCCGTGTACTGGGCCGCGGCATGCCTGCAACTGGTCCGCACAAACAAGCAAAGTCCCATCTGTGGGATGCAGGCAGCACACAAAACCACGCACCCTCGGGTCAATGGAAAAACCTTTCTCCACGGAACTGGTCATGGCTTAGGACCAGGTTACTTACAGGACCGCATACTGCCGCATAGTTCCCAGAGACCGGTGAGGTCCCACAGATTGGGCCTCCTTCAGGTCCCGTCGGCCAGACAATGTCGGCTGGCGGGCCCTCGGGGAAGGGCCTTTTCAGTGGTGGCTCCGACCTGGTAGAATCAACTTCCCCCCGAGATTCGAACTACTCCCACCTTGCTGGCCTTTAAGAAAGCCATTAAAACTCTCCTGTTCCGGCAGGCCTGGGGTTGATGTCCCCGGGGGGGGGGGGCGGGATACGATTGGACATGCTGTATGAATGTACTTATTTATTGTTTTATTGTTATATTGTTTTAATTTTGTACGCCGCCCTGAGTCCCTAGGGATTGGGCGGCATATAAATTTTATTAATAAATAAATAAATAAATAAACCGGTCCCTGATGCCCAAAAGGTTGGGGACCTTTGCTCTGATGGATCCAGGCTCCTGATCTCTGAGTAGGCTGGCTGCAGCTTCCAAAGCCGTTCTCTTAAGAGATCCGCGTGTCCCCACTTCCCTTCAGCAACTTCTCCTCAGTGGTTTCTAGCCTTTTGTCCTCTCCTCTTCCACCAGGTCTTCCCCAAAGAGAGCTGGCTGATTGCCTTGTGCGCCGGGATGACCAGCAGCTTCATGGTGGCCATCGCCATGACACCTTTTGATGTGGCCAGCACCCGCCTCTACAACCAACCGGTTGGACCTGACGGCCAGGTAGGAAATGGGAAGAACGGAGAGGATGTGGACGAAGCTGGAACCATTGTGGTTAGGTGGACTAAAGGAAAAGAGAGGAATACAGGCAGTCCTTGACTAATAGCCATTCATTTAATGTCCATTCGAAGTACAGCAGCACTGAAAAGGGTCAGTTTTCACCCTTACGACCGTTGCAGCATCCCCATAGTCAGGTGATCAAAATTCAGACACTTGGCAACTGGCTCCTATTTAGGACAGTTGCAATGTCCTAGGGCAGGGGTAGGCAACCTTGGCTCTTTTATGACTCGTGGACTTCAACTCCCAGAATTCCTGAACCAGCAGGGCTCAGCTTGGAAACCTCTCCCTTTCCCCTCAGCGTGGCTGGCTCAGGAATTCTGGGAGTTGAAGTCCACCAGTCATAAAAGAGCCAAGGTTGCCTACCCATGAACCAGTGGAACAACCTGCCTCCAGAAGCGATGAATGCTCCAACACTGGAAGATTTTAAGAAGAGACTGGACAGCCATTTGTCTGAAACGATATAGGGTTTCCTGCCTGAGGAGGGGGTTGGACTAGATGACCTCCAGGTTCCAACTTTTATTATTATTATTATTATTATTATTATTATTATTATTATTATTACTTCAATTCCCAGAATTCCTGAGCCAGCCATGCTGAGGGGAAAGGGAGAGGTTTCCAAGCTGAGCCATGCTGGCTCAGGAATTCTGGGAGTTGAAGTCCACGAATCATAAAGCGGCCTAGGCCTAGGCCAGGGTAGACAAGCTTGGCTCTTTTATGACTCGTGGACTTCAACTTCCAGAATTCCTGAGGCAGCCACGCTGAGGGGAAAGGGAGAGGTTTCCAAGCTGAGCCATGCTGGCTCAGGAATTCTGGGAGTTGAAGTCCACGAGTCATAAAAGAGCCAAGGTTGCCTACCCCTGCCCTAGGGCCATGTGATCCCATTTTGCGACAAGCAAAGTCAATGGGGAAGCCAAATTCACTTAACAATTGTGTTACTCACATAACAACTAGGACTCATTCACCCCATTGGTTTCAGGGGTCCCTTAGACAAATTGCTTAAATCCACACCTCTGCTTTATGTCAATGAAAACTCAACCCTCCAGGGCAGGGCAAAATTATCTTTAAAAGGTTAAAATCATGGTAACTGGACCAAAGTTCGTTAATCTGAGATATTCTGTTACTTATCCAAGTAACTTTATCGGTCAAAATAAATTAAAAAATAGTTCAGCAGAGAGTCAGAGAGTTGTTGGCATGTATCAGCTCTTGCCATACCAACTGCAGGGGTTTCTCCCCAAAAGGTTTTTATTTTGACTGATGGAATTACCTGGATGAGTAACGAAACATCTTCTATTAATAAACTTTGGTCCTATTGCCATGATTTTAATCTTTTTTAGGCACAACTTCGCTGTTAACCTTTCTTTGCTACCGTTTTTTTTAAAGTTTTAAATCTTCCAAAATTGTCCCCGTGCTGCCAAAGCGCAGGCTATTTCATTATTTGGAAGCTTATCGTCTCTTCCACCTTATGTCTGAGAACTGGGATCTTTGGTTAAGATTTTAGAAGAAATGAAGTTGTGTCCGAAGCAACATGAGCAGCCCTGAGTATCCAAAGTTCCTAACACAGATTTTAAAATGATGCAGAACCCCCCCCCCCCCAAAAAAAAAAACCTTGCAGATTTTTTAAATCGTTTTGGCAAAGAATTTTTGTAAGCAGCTGGTTAAACCTGAGTCAGTAAAAAGGTTGGTGGAATAAAAGTACCTGAAGGCAGGACAAGAAGCAACAGGTGGAAACTAATCAAGGAGAGAAGCAACCTAGAACTAAGGAGAAACTTCCTGACAGTTAGAACAATTAACAATAGAATAGGGTAGTGGAATAGATGAGAAGGATAAAATTAATATAGCCATATTACACGGGTAATAGATATAAGACAGAACTCTGAAAATTAAATGTTCAGCAGAATGATGGCACAAGGAAAAAAAGTGTCTCTGTGTTTAGTTGTTTTAGCGTTCAATGCCCTATAAAGGGATCCCAAGGAGAGGAATTGAAATAGTTTATGTCCCGGATGTAAGAGAGGGATAGAATCAAGATCATGAGAAGCGTTAATACATTTTATAATGCCTTGGTAAGGCTACACTTGGAATACTGCATCCAGTTTTAGTCGCCATGATGTAAAAAAGATGTTGAGACTCTAGAGAGAGTACAGAGAAGAGCAACAAAGACAATTAGGGGACAGGAGGCTAAAACATATAAGGAATGGTTGCTGGAATTGGGTATGTCTATTTAACAAAGAGAAGGACGAGGGGGGACATGATAGCAGCATTCCAATATCTCAGGGGCTGCCACAAAGAAGAGGGAGTCAAGCTATTTTCCAAAACGCCTGAAGGCAGGACAAGAAGCAACGGATGGAAATTAATCAAGGAGAAAAGCAACTCTAGAACTAAGGAGAAACTTCCTGACAGTGAGAACAATTAACCAGTGGAACAGCCTGCCTCCAGAAGCAGTAAATGCTCCAACACTGGAAGTTTTTAAGAAGAGACTGGACAGCCATTTGTCCGAAATGGTGTAGGGTTTCCTGCCTGAGCAGGGGGTTGGACTAGATGACCTCCAAGGTCCCTTCCAACTTTACTATTATTATTATTATTATTATTATTATTATTATTATTATTATTATTATTATTATCTATTATTATAAAAGTCATGGCTAGCACTTAGAAGTAAGCTTCAGTTGTACGTGCCCATGGAGATTCTCAGTCATCTTGGTTATCCCAAAGCTCCTTTTTCAAAAGGCAACTGGATTTTCTTCAAGAAACTTTATGGATGAGAAACGAAACCGTTTTCAAGGAAAAACCGAGAGCCCAGCTGACTTTTGAAAAAGCATCTCTGAGTTTCAGCTGTGCTAGTTATACACACAAACACAAACACACAAATTGTAGGTATATTTACCTGGATGTCTCCGGGATGTTTTTAAATATTTACTGGTTTGTACAGGTAGTCCTGAACTTAACGACAATTGAGCCCAGAACGTAGGTTGCTAAGTGAGAAATTTGCTAAGTGAGTTTTGCCCCATTTTACGACTTTTCTTGCCGCATTTGTTCAGTGAATTGCTGCAGTTGTGAAATTAATAACTCGGTGGTTAAGTGAATCTGGCTTCCCCACTTTGCTTGTCATAAGGTCACAAAAGGGTATCACATGGCCCCGAAAAAAACTGCAGCCCTCATAAATACGAACCAGTCAAGCATCCGAATGTAAATCGCGTGACCACCGGGGGGTGCTGCAACGGTTGTAAGTGTGAAAAAATGGTCATAAGTCACTTTTTTCGGTGCTGTTGTAACGTCGGAGGTCGCTAAATGAACTGTAGTTAAGTCAAGGACTACCTGTATTGAGTTTATCTCCCTTTACTTTTGCAAAAACCTGCTGGTGGGTTCTTTTTTAAAAAAATAAATAAATAAGAAAGCAAGATTTTGAAATAATAGAGAATACCGGTAGCTCGAGTTTTAGTTTTTCCTTGTGGTTTGACCTCCAAGCTTTTTTAAAATATAATTCCTGAGCGTTTCGTGACCAAACTAGGTAACATCAGCAGCAGGATTTTCTTGTCCTGTCATGTCAATTTTGTCAGAAACCAGACTATTCGAAGTGCCAGTCAACAAAAGAACCAATCAGCTGCTCGGAATTCAAAGTCCAACTGAGCACACTGGCACAAGCAGATGTTTATGAGTTAAGGAGAGTAGGACAAGAAAATCCTGCTGCTAATATTACCTAATTTGTAACAAAACGTTCAGGATTTAGAAAAGAAAGGAAGGAAGGAAGGAAGGAAGGAAGGAAGGAAGGAAGGAAAGAAAGAAAGAAAGAAAGAAAGAAAGAAAGAAAGAAAGAAAGAAAGAAAGAAAGAAAGAAAGAAAGAAAGAAAGAAAGAAAGATTTCCCAAACTTAAGGCAGATGGACTGGGAAGACAGGACAATGAAAACTTGGGAGTCATCCAAGAAAATGTTCTTAAGCGCCAGTGAACTTGACCCCTTTACCATTTCCTTTTCTACAACAGGGCATGATGTACAAAGGACTCTTGGACTGCCTGGCCAAAATCATCCAGACCGAGGGCTTCTGGGGCGCCTACAAAGGGATGGGTGCTTCTTACTTCCGCATCGGGCCCCACACGATCCTCAGCCTTCTCTTCTGGGATCAGATCCGCCAAGTCAACTTCCGCTGGCCGCAGGAGTGAAGCCGCTCATAAGAGGGGGTGCTCACCCCAATTTGCACATCAAGACTTACCTCAGAGGGGGAGCCCGGACCTCGCTGTGAGTCGAGCTAGTCTCAGAGATTTGACGCCAGCAGGCTGGCGACTTCTACGGTGCAGAGAAAGATGTTGGTGGCCCATTCCACGCCCTTTTGTGTTTGGCTGTTCTCACCTCTTGGTCCTCTTTCCTACTTGGCTACAGATTGAGGAGTAAAATAACGTGCAACTCTGTCCCCTGCCCGGAACAATTAATACCAAATCGTTAACTTCTCGACTGAGGAGCCAACGCACCACGCAGACGCTCGTCCTGACTGGAAGCTTGTGCAGGAGCATGCTGGCCCACTCTGTAGCGAAGCGCCATTTTTCCATTGCAGAAGATGGACTTCTGTCTGCTTGGTAATGGCCTCCAGGTCCCGGCTTTCTAGGAGAACCCCTAAAAAGCTTTCTTGGGGACTCTGTTGAGTCACTTCTACCCAGGGCGCAAAATTATAGGGCCTCCCTAAAGGTGGGGAGAGAAGTCCTGTTCAAGCTGTTTCCATGGCAACCAAGTAGACCTAAAGGTAGGGCTCACCTGCGCCAGTTAATCCAGCCTCTAGGTGGCACTAGAGTGCCATCCTGCTCTTGCTGCCATTTTCCCTCTTCTCTATATTTACATACTATTAAAGTTCTCAGGTCTCTTTTGTTACCTCCAGTTGGGTAAAATGGTGGGTTATAGGGCAACCATTTTTGACTCCATGCACCTCAAATGGGCTAACTTACAGAATGTGTCCAAAATCTGGGCTCCATGACTAGGAATTGAAATTTGGGAAATTTGGGGCCATTTCAGCGCACTGTTGCACCACCGAATCAAATAGTCATCCTTTCCGACACTCCCTGACATCTTCGGCAATGGAGAAGCCAGAAAGGTAAGTCACAAGTTGTTCAGGTAAGTCTCCCCCACTCACACAACACCCAGTCCCTCTTGGCTTCACCGACATTGGCCATTCACGTACCGATGCACAGCTGCGTCGCAGTTCTGCGTGTGAACGCCATCTCATACCATCTGTTCTACATCCCTGCTTACCCTTTCCGACCCATGCTACATACCTGTGCATCCTGTCTGACCTTTTTTACACCCTTGCACACCTTTGCCGGTTCTTCACCCTGTTGGACCTCCACAGCACCTCTCACGCATTCCCTGCACATCCTTCCTGACCTGTTTTGCACCCGTGTGGCACCTTTCATGCCTCCTTCTCAATTCTCATGATACCTCCAACTTGTGCAGAATCCTTTTTTTTTATTAATTCAACAGGAAAGCTACCAGGAAGTCTAAATTTGATGTAGCAGCAAGGAAGAAGGCAGGCAGGAAGGAAGGAAGGAAGGTGCCAGGCAGATCAAGGAAAGCATATTGACTTTAATTCCCATGTTGGGGAATTCTGGGAATTGAAGTCTGCACGTCATAAACTGTTATGTTTAATCTTCAAGGTCTCATCACAAAAACACCAAGGAAATTAGCATCTTCCCATGAGAAAAATTTCTTAATAAACTTAAGGGTCTCGATCCAAATCCCTCCACCTTCTTAATCTTTTGCTAACCTTTCCAAAATCCAGACACAAAACATGCTTTTGCTACCTGGTCCAAGAAGTCATATATTTTCAAAAAAATAAATAAAAATAAATCAAATTTACACCATCATCCTTTTAAGGAGAAACTCACCGATGAATACAGTAAAACCTTACTGGTCTGAAGGGTCTTAATCTCTCCGTTATGCAAGGGAGGGGGAACATCAAAAAGCAATTAAGAAATGGCCTCGACTTAGTGATCGTAAAAATCTGTGCTGCAACTCCCAGTCGCTTCGCTCAGAAGCCAATGACAAAAATGACAGTTCTGCTGTCATGGTCTGCTCACGAGGAGTGGCTATCCAGAGTCACGTGGATAACATCTACAAACTCTCTTCTTCTGGAGAGGTTTTGTCTATATGGATCCAACATCCACCGTGATTTCCTTGTGAATGATGTCCTGCTAACAGAAGTGATTGGGTGGGGGTGTGTGTGCAGATTTTGGTCACATTCTGTAAGTTAGCCCGTTTGAAAAACATTGATTGAAAACTCGTTTTGCCCAATTGGAGGTTACAGACGTGAGAATTTTAATGTCCTAGAGACAGATAAAGCTTTTGTTGAAGCTTTTGTGCATTTTAATCAAGCAGCAGACCTGAAGCCTGAAGGATCCACATAAAAGAGAGAAGAGTGCTCACTTTGGGTACTCCGATCCACACAGTAAATTCTTTCGACTGGACGCAGCAGTGATGATGCTAAGAGATGACGCATGGACACAGACCATTATGATGACTTCTAACTGTTACACAGTTTTTTAAAAAAAAACACGTATTTTCAAAGGTTGATTTTATTTTATTTTTTACTACTCCCAGTTGGCCTTCGTGTCCCTTGACACTCAAGGACACAATCTGGCCGAAACTCAACTGCACAAGCAACCTCAAATTTCATGACAAAACATGTAAAGCCTAGAAGAGATGGAATTTGAAGGAAGGAAAAAAAGAAGCAGGAAGGAGCAATCTTGCTTAACAGCAAATTACGTTCTGTTTTTACATTTCTTTTCTTAATCTTCTTTTCTTTTCTTAGTCATCTGAGGGTATACAGCTACCCCAAATAAAAAGTATCTCTTTGGCAGTTGATGTGTACATTATTTCTGTGGTTCATGCTCCTTCCATTACAGAGAGTGTGAAAAACACTTCTGAGTGCTAGATTGCAATCTAGTGAATTATCCAGAAGGTAGGTAACCCCAGTTTCCTTGGATCACATGTAGAAGAACACTAGGAAATAGTTGGAGAGGTGAGTAGAACTACCCTTCCTACAATCTAATGGTTTTTTTTTCAGAGTTGGTGACTTTTAAGATGCGTGGACTTCAACTCCCAGAATTCCTCAGCCAGCATGGCTAGCTGGGGAATTCTGGGAGTTGAAATCCAGGCATGCTAAAGTCAAGTTTGAAAAACACTGGTCTAACGCAAAGCAAGTTGGCCTGAGTTTGCTTTTTACAAGGAGAACGTCCTTGGGCATTCAGCGTCCACGTCCTCTTTTCCGTCGAGGGATGAAGGAAGAAGATCAAGATATCGGAACCGGCGTTCTCATCTAGAAAGCCTCTGAACCGAACGGCCCTGTGATCACGGCCGGGATGGAGCAAAGCTGGATTTTCAGCAGACAGAGAAGCGTCTTAACCGAACAGACCAGGATCCAGGAGCCGCAGGCTACACACGAAAGCGTGGAAATGCTCCACTGTCCAAGGAGGTCGAGAGAGGGACAAAGGGACCTCTGTGCTTTGCGCAGCACTGGTACTCAGAGGGCTGTCTCAGAAGAAAGGGGGGGGGGGGGAAAAGGGGTTGGTCATCACAGGGCAGAACTGCAAAATATCTGCCAAAACCCACACGCCATCAAGCTGACCACCCTGCAGCCTTTGGAGCGGGCAGACCCTCCCCCAATAGAGGTAGTCCATGCCTTATGACCAAAATTGAACCCATTTTTTTTTTTTATCATTGCTAAGCAAGGCAGTTCAGTGAGTTTTAGCAATAGCAATGGCACTTAGACCAGTGGTTCTCAACCTCTGGGTCGGGACCCCATTTGGGGTCGAACGACCATTTCACGAGGGTCGCCAAACAATGCAATCTGCCATTTTTTCCCCCTTTTCCTTAGCTGTGCTACTCCATTTTATTCTATTGGCTTTTGAAAGCCAATAGAATAGACTCTCTTGAATAGTCTAATTCTATTGGCTTTCAAAAGCCAATAGGAATTGTCCAGGTTGTCTCTGCCCTGCTGAGCCCGCCAAAAGTCCCATTCTGCAAACGGTGCTGCACCAGTTGAGTAGTCCTCGACTTACGACCAGTTGAGTAGTCCTCGACTTACGACCGGTTGGGGGTCGCGGCATTAAAAAGGTTGAGAACCACTGACTTAGACTTATATACCACTTCACAAATCCTTTACAGTCCTCTCTAAGTGGTTTACAGGGTCAGCCTGTTGACCCCCAATAATCTGGGTCCTCAGTTTTGCCCCATTTTTAAAACCTTTCTGGCCAAAGTTGTTAAGTGAATCACTGCAGGTGCTAAGTTGGCAACACGGTCGTTAAGTCAATCTGGCAGCTAAATGAATGATTGTAAATTGAGGACCACTTGTATTCCCCAATTTGGAGGGAAGGACGGTGGAATTTCAAAAAGTTTGCCTTAAGAAAAAGGGATCAACTACCTTTTAAACACTCTCAACTTCTTTAAAACGAGCCGAGGATATATTTAACACACGCTACACAGCTTGTGCGACCCTAAAAATGTCAGAGGTTCACCCTCTTGGCCACAAGGATATTCTGACAGAACAATTAATCATGGAACGACTTGTCACCAGAAGTTGTGGGTGCTCCAAAACTGGAAAAGATTGGACTGAAATGGTTTAGACCAGAGTAGGCCACCTTGGCTCTTTTATGACTCGTGGACTTCAACTGCCAGAATGGCTGAGTTTGGAAACCTCTCCCTTTCCCCTCAGCGTGGCTGGCTCAGGAATTCTGGGAATTGAAGTCCACGAGTCATAAAAGAGCCAAGGTTGCCTACCCCTGGTTTCGACTAAGTCTCCTGCTTGAGCAGGGGGTTGGACTAGAAAGACTTCCAAGGTCCCTTCCAATTCTGTTATTCTCTTAATTTTCACTCCTCCAATTGAACTTTTCCCTTTCTCTCCTTCCCTCAGATCAGTCAGTGGTTATAGCCTTGTGGCAGGCAGAGGAGATCACTAAGACACACTCACTTAATCCAGGTGGGGTCATTGAAGGTGACAAGCAGATCCGTTCCGTACTGAGGGAGGCGGAGCAGCACCAAATGCACAGCGACATCGTTTTTGGCCTACGTACCAGAAAACGGAAACAAAACATGGATCAAGGCTCTCCTTTTATACAGGAGGAGGGTGAAAGTAGCTTTTGAAATCATGAGGGCTAGCCCCTCTTCTTTAAAGAAGGGCATATTCACAGGAGGGGGACACCACCACGTCATTTGGTTCTGTTATGTAAGCCAAGCAAGGCCAATCTGGTTAATTCCAACAGAGCACAGTGGAAACAAGTTTTGTGTCATGTCTGAACAAGAGATGGGAAGGCCTGGGAAAAAAACGGAAAAATTGGGGGGGAAATTTATTCAATGATAAATTATATATATCTATGACATGGTATTCAAAGACCTTAATGAAAGATTTCTGAGACTTGTTGTAAAGTCTCAAATAACTGTAAGTTCTCTCAGCTGAAGACAAGCCAATCCTGCCTCCAAACACCGTGGGTGCTCCATCACTGGAGATTTTAAGAAAAGACTAGACAATCACCTGTCTGAGATAACAAGAAGAAATATTACTATTGGACAATGTGAACACCCATGGATGAGGACGAGGGAGTCAAACTATTTTCCAAAGCGCCTGAAAGCAGGACAAGAAGCAACAGGTGGAAACTAACCAAAGAGAGAAGCAACCTAGAACTAAGGAGAAACTTCCTGACAGTTAGGACAATTAACCAGTGGAACAACCTGCCTCCAGAAGCGGTGAATGCTCCAACACTGGAAGTTTTAAAGAAGAAACTGGACAGACATTTGTCCGAAATGGTATAGGACTTCCTGCCTGAGCAGGGGGTTGGACTAGATGACCTCCAAGGTCCCTTCCAACTTTATCATCATCGTCGTCGTTGTTGTTGTTTAACTAAAGCAAGCCTTTGAGCGGGAAAACCAGAGTTGGTTTTGCTTCTTCTGTGCCAATGTAGATTTTCAGTAAAGTATTATACACTTGGAAAAATCAAACTCCCAGGAGTTTCTTTTCTGGAAATGCCAACTGGACAATTGATACTCGTCCCCCAGTAACCTCACCACTCACCTCCTCGTTGAATTTAGCGACCTGCTGGTGGCCTGCCAGTTGCCAGGAGCTGCTGCAGCCTTCGAATGCCAGAAGAGCGGGCGCAAATTGGGTTTGGCTCAAAATCTCCGAATTGGCCGAATTGCCCGCAATGTCTTCAAAATGGAACCTGGTGGGAATGGGGTGGTTAAAAAAAAAAAAAAAAAGGATGGACGTCTGTCACCGACTCTCCCCTCAATGAGTCTCGTGCTAAGAGGCAAACTTTATCCACAGGTGAGGCTATCCCAGGTGAACATAGGCAATTTCATGGAGAAATTGCAAAATAGCCCGAGCTATGGACATTCTTAATATACAGTAATCTTCAACTTACAACCACAACGGAGCCCAAAACTTCTGTTGCTAAGCGAGACATTGGTTAAGTGAATTTTGCTGTTTTACGACCTTTCCTGCCAAGGCTGTTAAGTGAATCACTGCAGTTAAGTTAGTGACACCGTTTTTAAGTGAGTCTGGCTTCCCCGTTGACTTTGCTTGTCAGAAGTTCGCAAAAGGGAATCACGTGACCCCAGGAGACTGCAACCGTCATAAATATGAGTCAATTGCCAAACATCTGAATTTTGATCACACGACTGTATGGATGCTGCAAGAGTCGTAAGTATGAAAATTCGTCATAAGTTACTTTTTTTCAGTATTATTATAACTTCAGTCACTAAATGAACTGTTCTAAGTCGAGGACTACCTGTAATCTTATTATCCTTTACCCCCCTCCAAAAAAGCAGCATTAGAAAACACACACACACACACACACACACACAGAATTTTTTCTTTTCTTTTTCTTTGTTTATTGTTCTATTATTCTACTTTCACTTTGTTTAAATTTCCTTTTTCTTTCTCATGTTTTTTAATTGTCGCAAGCCACCTAGACTAGACATATGGTAAGACAGATGGCAAATAAATGTAACAATAACAATATTAACAATAGCATATTTCTTGTAGCAATTCCTAACCAGACCGTGAAGCATTTCAAACCTTATGCTAAATAAAGCAAGCCAGGATATTATCACAGCCTAGGAATGCTTGTTTTTAAGTATTCAAGACAGGCCCGTTTTAAACTCATTTAAGGAGTGTGATTAGACATACAAAGAATTTTGTCTCTGGTCAGTGGTGGGATTCAGCTGGTTTGCACCATTTCGGCAGAACCGGTAGCTAATTTTTTGTTGCCCTGGCCCAGAATGGACTTCTGGAAGCGTCATCCACACAGAGAACCGGTTGTTCACATATTTGAATCCCACCACTATCTCTGATGCAGAAGCTCTCGCTAGAAAAGCCCAGGGTGAGAAATTGAAAAAATATTGCCCAAAACCTGTAACAAGATGCCATCCCTTGTAGTTCAGGTTCCTAAGTGTCCTCCATCACAATTGTGAAAACTCCTCGCAGTTTCCTTTATTTGACCCAAACATTACAAGCTGCTGTTGTTAGTCTTTTATTATTGTTAGTTGCAAAGTCCCCATGGACAAAGACCCCATGGACAACGTTCCTCCAGACCTTCTCTACCATCTTCTGGAGTCTATTTAAGCTCATGCCTGCTGCTTCAGTGACTCCATCCAGCCACCTCATCCTCTGTCGTCCCCTTCTTCTCTTGCCCTCCATCTTTCCCAGCATTAGGCTCTTCTTCAGTGAGTCCTTCCTTCTCATTAGGTGGCCAAAGTATTTGAGTTTCAACTTCAGGATCTGGCCTTCTAAAGAGCAGTCGGGGTTGATCTCTTCTAGGACTGACCGGTTTGAACGCCTTGCAGTCGAAGGGACTCGCAGGAGTCTTCTCCAGCACCATAGTTCAAAGGCCTCAATTCTTTGGCGCTCAGCCTTTCTTATGGCCCAACTTTCACAGCCGTACATTGCAACTGGGAAAACCCTGCCCTTGACTATACACACTTTTGTTGGCAGGGTGATGTCTCTGTTTTTAAGTATGCTGTCTAGATGATACTGTCCATGGGTTTTCATGAAAAACCCTGTTCAGCTATGTTGGATTCTCACAGCTTAGATACAACCCATGCAGGGGTTTGAGCAATGTTTTTTCAACTTCTCACCCTGGGCTTTTCTGGCGAGAGCATCTGCACCAGAGACAAATTCCTTGTGTGCATGTGTCTAATCACACTTGGCCAAATAAAGTAGAGGGAGTCCTCAACTTACAACAGTTCATTGAGTGACCGTTTAAAGTTACAACAGCACTGAAAAAAGTGACTTATGACCGTTTTTCACACTTATGACCCTTGCAGGATCCCTGTAGTCATGTGATCAAAATTCAGACGCTTGGCAACTGACTCATATTTATTTTATTTTTATTTTTTTTATTGAAAATTTTTTTAAAGTTTTACAAATAAACAACCAAGCCTCACCCAATCCCTCCCACCCCCCCTCCCCCCTCCCCGAGCTTCCCAGAACTGAATACAGGCTTATTTAAAATTTTAAAAAACCTAAACAAATTTTTACAACTTATGAAATGATTAATAATAAAATATATATAACCTAGGCATTAAAAAGAAAAATACTTAAAAAAAGAAAGAAAAAAGAGAGGAAAAAGAGAGAGAGAAAGAAAAAGAAGAAGAAAGAAAGATAAAAAAAAGAAAAGAAAAAAAAAGAAGGAAGAAAACAAAAGACGGAAAAAGAAAAAAACAATCTATAAAATATCAAAAATTTTTATACAATTTATGAAAAAGCTAAATGATATTTTTCCATATCCAAATTATATTGTATAAAATTTATCCATTTTTCCCATACAACAAAAAATTTCTCTTGAGATTGGTCCTTTAAGAAAGCCGAAATCTTTGCCATTTCCGCCAAATGAGAAACTTTATAAAACCACTCTTGTAAGGTAGGCAAAGATTCCTTCTTCCAATATTGTCCTACTAACAGCCTTGCGGCTGTAATCAAATTTAACATCAATATAACTTCCTTAGCATCACAATCCGTAACAATACCTAATAAAAATAATTGTGGGGTAAATTTTACCCTCCTTCTAAAGATTCTTTGAATATTCCACCATATAACTGACTCATATTTATGACACGATTGCACTGTCTCAGGATCACGTGATTCCCCTTTTGCAAAGTCAATGGGGAAGTCAGATTCACTTAACAACCAGGTTAGTAACGTATCAACTGCAGTGATTCACTTAACCACTGAGACAAGGTCATAAAATGGGGCAAAACTCACTTCACAAATGTCTCACTTAATAACAGAAATTCTACCAACAAAAGTGCGTATAGTCCAGGCCATGGTTTTCCCAGTTGCAATGTATGGCTGTGAAAGTTGGACCATAAGAAAGGCTGAGCGCCAAAGAATTGAGGCCTTTGAACTATGGTGCTGGAGAAGACTCCTGCGAGTCCCTTGGACTGCAAGGCGATCCAACTGGTCAGTCCTGGAGGAGATCAACCCCGGCTGCTCTTTAGAAGGCCAGATCCTGAAGTTGAAACTCAAGTACTTTGGCCACCTAATGAGAAGGAAGGACTCACTGGAGAAGGGCCTAATGCTGGGAAAGATTGAGGGTAATAGAAGAAGGGGACGACAGAGAATGAGGTGGCTGGATGGAGTCACTGAAGCAGGAGGCGTGAGCTTCAATGGACTCCAGAAGATGGCAGAGGACAGGAAGGCCTGGAGGAACGTTGTCCATTCGCAACTAATAACAACAGGATAGGATAGGATTTTTATTTCTATTTCATTCTATTCAACCCCCATCCCAAATTTACTAAGTGTTTGGTGATGGCTTCCCAAAGATCAGCCAGGCTCATCAAAGTGCTGCCTCCTGGCTGTAACATTTTGTATTTTTTTTTTTCCTCCCGCATAAGGGAGTTGTAAAAGTGGAGATGCTGGGAAAGCATGCGCTCTACCACTGAGCTACATCCCCGTTCCATCCTGTTTGCCATCAGCTGCTCTTCTCCATTACAACAATAATTTCTCAATATTACTTCCCCCTCCTATTATTTTTCAAGGCTTTTAGCAATGAAGCCAACATTTTAGCCTTTTTCTACATAAAGTAGTTAGTTACTGAGTCCCATATAAGTGTTGCTAAGACTAATTAGCCATCGATTAATTAATGCCACTCATATATTTCTCTAGCCTGAGAATATGCCAGTCTGGAAACAGATTTGCTTTCCAGAATAATTGCCGGGAAGTATATTAATTTATGCATTAATTAAAATAACATACCGGTGGCCCTTCACTAAAACCACAGCTGAGCCAAAATTTCCGTTGCTAAACGAGATAGTTGTTAAGTGAGTTTACCCCATTTTAGAGCTTTCCTGTCACAGTTGTTAAGGAAATCACTGCAAATGTTAAGTTAGCAACACGGTTGTTAAGTGAATCCGGCTTCTCCGTTGAAGGTCGGGGGGATCCTTGAAGATCATTGAAAAGTCACAAAAGGGGATCATGTGATCCCAGGACAATGCGACCGTCATAAATATGAGCCAGCTGCCAAGTCTCCAAATTCTGATCACGTGACCATAGGGATGCAGCAACGGTCGTAAGTGTGAAAAACAGTCATAAGCCACTTTTCTCAGTGTGGTTGTAACTTTGAATGGTCACCAAATGAACTGCTGTCAAGTGAGAACTACCTGTACTTACAGTCCCAAGCAAAATATGGGTCTGGCAAAAGTTGAAAATTAAACTTTGGACAATGCTAGATTCTTGAATCCAGGACCCTGGGCACGCAAGCTATATATGTGATCACTGAGCTCTATTGCCCTCCAACTCTTGTTAGCTCTTTTTGTTAGAAATTTTCAGTAGGTATGCATTTATTCATTTATTTATTTGTATGTATGTATGTTTGTATGTATGTGTATATACATATATACATGTATATGTGTGTGTCTGTGTGTATATATATGTGTGTGTGTATTCATAAATATATATCATCTATTTATCTTCTATCTATCCATCTATCCATCTATCCATCTATCTATCTATCTATCTATCTATCTATCTATCTATCTATCTATCTATCTATCTATCTATCTATCATCTACCTGTCTGCCTACCTACCTACCTATCATCCACCTGTCTGTCTGTCTTTCTGCCTGCCTGCTTACCTATCAATCATCCGTCTATGTCTGTCTGTCTGTCTACCCACCTGTCTATCTGTTTGTCTGTCTATCTATCTATCATCTACCTGTCTGTCTGTCTGCCTGCTTACCTACCTATCATCCACCTGTCTGTCTGTCTTTCTGCCTGCCTACCTACTTATCAATCATCTGTCTGTCTGTCTATCTGTCTGTCTGTCTACCCACCCATCTGTCCATCTATCTATCTATCTATCTATCTATCTATCTATCTATCTATCTATCTATCTATCTATCTATCTATCTATCTATCTATCAAAATCATAAAAGAGTATGATTTTGGGAGACATTAAGAAAACCCTTCAAATCAAGTCTTTTCACTGAAAGTGCAGGAAATCGGATGAAAAAGCCAAAGATAAAACTCCCACAAAATTCCTTCATGTGCTCCATCATTGCCACAAGCGCTTGCCAAATCCAATCCTGCTTTTTTAAAAAGTCTCGCGTATCTGGGAAATTACAGATAGGCCTCGACTTACGACTGGTCCCTTAGCAACCATTTGAAGTTACAATGGACCCTACCCAAAAGTTAATCATGACCCAGATTCAAAATTGTGATGCTGCCCCCTCCCTCCCCCCAGGTCAGGTCACTGTATTTTGGGTGCTTAGCCACCAGCTCCCACATATGGAAGTTTGCAGCACCCTGCAGTCACGTGACTATGATTTCCAATCATTTCCCCCCTCCCCGGAAGCCAGCATTTACTTCCTGTTTCCTGGAAAAAAGAAACACCCCATAGTAAACAATGGGTTCCCTTAACAACCTCTATGTTCATTTCACAACCACTATGTTTGCTTAATGCTTGCTGCAAAAAATTACGCTGACCCTATTACATCCAGTTACTTAATAATCTGCTTTATGACCATCACAACTTACGACCATAACTAACAGCTTCCATTACGGATGTAAGTCCAGAACCTATTAAACCTCTTACAGAAGAAAGTAGGAATATTTGCATTCCTTCAACACGTTCACAGTCGAGAGGTCCCTGAGTATATAAAGAGTGTAATTTTGCCCTGGGATTCATTTTTTCCAAGCAGGCTTTCAACTCCAGCACCAATTTGTTCCCCAGTGAGATGTCCAATTTTGCACTACCCACCTGGCAGCATTTTCATCCGCCACCCCTGCTTGGTATTCCAGCAGTTCCACAATGATGCTCTGATCTGTGCTGGGGTGAACGAAGACTTCCTGGTTGTCAGGAACCTGACGCATTTCACTGCGAGGAAAAGGATAGACGGGGAGAAGAAATTAGAGACAGCCAGCCACCTAGTCTTTGTGAGCACGTGGACCTTCTAAAGCAGAGGTCCCCAACCTTTTGGACACCAGGGACTGGTGCCATGGAGAAAGGTTTTTCTGCAAACCAGAGGGGGTGTGGTTTTGAATACTGCCTGCATCCCGAGGATGGAGCTTTGCTTGTTTGTGCAGCCCGCTTGCTGGCATGCTGAGGACTGGTGCCGGTCCACAGACCGGGGATTGGGGACCCCTGTTCTAAAGACCCAACAAGCAGCCCATTGTCTAGATCAGTAGTTCTCAACCTTTTTAATGCCGCGACCCCCAACCGGTTGTAAGTCGAGGACTACTCAACCGGTCGTAAGTCGAGGACTACTCAACTGGTACAGCACCGTTTGCAGAATGGGACTTTTGGTGGGCTCAGCAGGGCAGAGACAGCCTGGACAACTCCTATTGGCTTTTGAAAGAATTAGACTCTCTTTCAAAAGCCAATAGAATAACAGGGAGTAGCACAGCTAAGGAAAAGGGAAAAAAATGGCGGACTGCGTTGTTTGGCGAACCCTGTGAAATGGTCGTTCGACCCCAAATGGGGTCCTGACCAACAGGTTGAGAACCACTGGTCTAGATCAAAGCTTTTCAACCAGTGGTACGTTTACCACCTGTGGTACATTGGCACCTGGCAGGTGGTATGCGACCATCCTAGAAAAGTGGTAGCCGGGAAGGGGAATGAGCTGAACCGGTGGCAGCACCGCACAAGCCTGAGCCAGATATGGCTGGAGCTGCAGGGCTGTCAGGGCTTAGCGGAAGCGCCAGGATCAGCGCCAGGCTCCAGCTGGAACTCAGTGTGATCCTGGTGCTTCTGCTGAGCCCAGAAGAAGCGCCGATCAGCTGGAATGTTGCAGCATCTCCAGGGTCTTATGATTTACATTCAGATGCTTGGCAACTGATTCATATTTATGACGGTCACAGTGTCCCAGGGTCATGTGAAGTGACCAAAACCTGCTGCAACCACCCAGCAGACGGGGGGGGGGAATAAAAACCAAACACCCCCCATCCCATCCCCGCTGCCAATCCTCAACAGAAACGCTCACAACAATGAAAACCTCGGACAGGAGTAAGAGTGCTGCCGGGCGGGCAGGCAGGCAGGTGTCTTGCTCGGCTGTGGCTTGGGGGGCACTTTTTTCAGTGCCACTGTAACTTCAAACAGTCATTAAGCGAACTGTTGTAAGTCGAGGACTACCTGTACTTTATCACTTTTTTCTTTCTTTCTTTTTTTTTTTTTTTGGTCATCCAGTTTTTGACACCTTGCTAGGTGACTGGTGGTACTCGGATGTTGCCATATCCTAAAAGTGGTACAATGGGTGAAAAGGTTGAAAAGCCCTGGTCTAGATATACCCAATTCCTGCAACCAATCAATGCAGAGAACAGGACATGGCTGCTATTTCCAAACCAGAATGTCTAAGAGCCTTTAGTTTGACCCACAAGTTGTGAAGCTAAGAGGCTGGTGGGAAGGCTGGAAGGAACCAAGTCTAGGGAGATGCTGGTCAGGGGCAGAGCATGGAACCCACCTGATATCCAGACTTCCAGGAGGAAGACGAGCAGAAAAGGCACCACCAAACAGGTATCTTTCTTGGGGTTCCTCATCCGCCATGGCCTTTGCCTACAAGACAAGCCAAAGGACAAATCCATTGGAGATCCACAGTCAAAGTCACACACAACATGGGGGCTCAGAGGACAGGGTGAGTTTCCAACTGCCAGGCTTTTGAACAGCTTTGTTCCCATTCTTAGCAACATCTGGGAAAAGGGGGTACAGTCTTTTTGGGAACCTACACTTAAATGCATAAACTAAAATAGAGCAACCCAATTATAGCAAATATGTACAGGGGTAGCATTTACGTTTCTGTATTAACCTGTTACATCAATAACAAGGCAATACTTTTTTTTTAAGGTATGATTATTTTTGACAGCGAGATGGATCAAAGTTAAGAAACGTTTCTGGAGTCCACAGGCCACAAATTATTCTGCTACCTACACACTGTACATTAATAAATGAAAAGCTAAATTAGACATTACCGAAAATTAAATTGTCCTTCTTCCCTATCCAAGTTAAGAGAACAGACTTTCAAGGAAGACCATGTATTTCAAATTAAGATCTAGCCAGTTTTCCTCAATCTTGACAACTTTTAAGATATCTGGACTTCAACTCCCAGAATTCCACAGCTAGCCATACTGGCTGGGGAATTCTGGGAGTTGAAGTCCACACTTCTTAAAGCTGACTAGTTTGAAAAAGGTAGGGAGCCGGTTTGGTCTAGTGATTAAGGCACAAGGCTAAGAAAGTAGGAGACTGGGGTCTAGTCCCTCCTTAAGCATGAAAGATGCTGGGTGATTTTGGACCAGTTATTCATTCTCAGCCCGACTCACCTCACAGAGTTGTTGTGTGGAAAATAGGAGGAAGTTGTGTTGGATAGTTCACCACCTTGAGTGAGTGGTAAACGTAATACAAATAAACAGGGAGATTATCAGCATCTTAAATACAGGTAGTCCTCACATTATGACCACAACTGAGCCCATTTCCATCGCTAAGCAAGACAGTTAAGTGAGTTTTGCCCCATTTTACGCCCTTTCTTGCCGCAGTTGTTAAGCAAATCACTGCAGCTGTTAAGTTACTAACACGGTTGTTAAGTGAATTTGGCTTCCCCATGGACTTTGTCAGAAAGTCGCAAAGGGTGATCACATGATCCTGGGACATTGCAACCATCATAAATATGACCAATTGCTAAGCATACCAAATTTTGATCACATGATCCTGGGGATGTTGGAAAGGTTGTAACTGAAAAACAGTCATAAGTCACTTTTTTCGGTGCCGTTGTAACTTTCAACGATCACAAAACAAACAGTTGTTAAGTTGTCGGGGACTACTTGTATTCAAAAGTACTACAAGCAGTCCTTGACTTACAACAGTTCATTTAGTGACCGTTCAAAGTTACAACCGCACCGAAACAAGTGACGTCGGACCATTTTTTCATACTTACCACCTTTGTAGCAACCCCATGACCATGTGATCAAAATCCAGATGCTTGGCAACTGGTTCATACTTATGACCGTTGCTGTATCACGAGGGATCCCTTTTGCCTCCTTCCGACGAGCAAAATCAATAGGGAAGCCAAATTCACTTAACAACCGTGTTACTAATTTGTCAACTGTAGCAATTCACTTAACAACTTTGGAAAGAAAAGGTATAAACGGAGGCAAACTCTTAACTAATCTCACTGTTGTTAAGTGAGACTTAACAAATGTCCCACTTAGCAACAGAAATTTTGACAGTTCAATTTTGAAGACAGCAAAGTCCACATTTTGAACAGAGAGCACCGCTGGTTTTATTGTTAGATTATTGTTTTAATTTTGTACGCCGCCCTGAGTCCCTTGGGATTGGGCGGCATATAAATAAAATTAAATAAATAAATAATTAATAAATCTAGGTCAAAATTGACAGCCCTCCCTCAACAGGGGGGGAGGGATAGGACATTATCTATCTCCAATCTACAACACAGCCCTTTCAGCAGTTCCAAGAAAGCTCCATACCCATTTGCGCCACTCAGGTGACCCTGAGGACATAGAAGACTCTCTAAAACAGGGCCTTTCAACCAGTGGTACGGGTACCACCTGTGGTACATTGGCACTTGGCAGGTGGTACACGACCATCCCAGAAAAATGGTAGTCGGGGAGGGGAATGAGCTGAAACAGTGGCAGCGGTGCACAAGCCTGAGCCAGAGATGGCTGAAGCTGCAGGGCTGTCAGGGCTCAATGGAAGCACCAGGATCAGCGTCAGGCTCCAGCTGGAGCTTGCTGCTGATCCTGGCGCTTCTGCTGAGTCCAGAAGAAGCGCTGATCAGCTGGAATGTTGCAGCATCTCCAGAGTCTTATGATTTACATTCAGATGCTTGGCAACTGATTCATATTTATGACGGTCACAGTGTCCCAGGGTCATGTGAAGTGACCAAAACCTGCTGCAACCATCCATCAGACGGGGAGAATAAAAACCACACACACACCCATCCTACCCCACTGCCAATCCTCAACAGAAATGCTCACAGCAATGAAAACCTCGGACAGGAGGAAGAGCACCACTGAATGGGCAGGCAGGTGTCTTGCTCGGCTGTGGCTTGGGGAGCACTTTTTTCAGTGCCATTGTAACTTTGAACAGTCACTGAGTGAACTGTTGTAAGTCGAGGACTACCTGTACTTTATCACTTTTTTCTTTTTTTTTTTTTTTGGTCATCAAGTTTTTGACACCTTGCTAGGGGACTGGTGGTACTCAGATATTGCCATATCCTAAAAGTGGTACAATGTCTGAAAAGGTTGAAAAGCCCTGATCTAGGTCAAAATTGAACAGCCCTCCCTCAACAGAGGGGGAGGGATAGGACATTATCTATCTCCAGTCTACAACACAGCCCTTTCAACAGTTCCAAGAAGGCTCCACACTCGTTTGCGCCACTCAGATGACCCTGAGGACACAGAAACGACTCTCTAAAAAAGAAGGCAAACGACCAGCTCTCTGCAAGGAGTATAAATCCACTGCCCTACCATCCAGTCAGAGCTGAAGAAGCTTCTTGGATGAGAAGTGAAACGTCTTCAAAGGAAAAACAAGAAAGTCCAGTTGCCTCCTGAAAAAAGCACCTTTGGGACAAACAGGATCTGGATGGTTGAGAATCTACATCAGTGGTTCTCAACCTGTGGGTCGGGACCCCATTTGGGCTCGAACAACCATTTCACGGGGGTCGCCAAACAACGCAATCCGCCATTTTTTCCCCCTTTTCCTTAGCTGTGCTACTCCCTTTTATTCTATTGGCTTTTGAAAGCCAATAGAATAGACTCTCTTGAATAGACTCTCTTTCAAAAGCCAATAGGAATTGTCCAGGCTGTCTCTGCCCTGCTGAGCCCGACAAAAGCCCCATTCTGCAAACGGTGCTGCACCAGTTGAGTAGTCCTCGACTTACGACCGGTTGAGTAGTCCTCGACTTACGACCGGTTGGGGGGTCGCGGCTTTAGAAGGTTGAGAACCACTGCTCTACATAGTTCTCTTCAGGGATTCAGAAAGGAAGGAAGAAACGGGGATCTGCCTGGGAAGAGTGCCTTGCCCTTGGAGGTGCATTAGGTCATTTCTGCTGCAAAGAAAGGAAGCAAAATAACCGGGCCGGCAAGGGTTGAAAATAGGCAGAGAAATCCCCGGAGGTAAGAAAAGAAAACAAGAACCTTGGGAGAAAGGGGTTCCCTTGCCACTGCGTCACAAAGGGAGGGATTCCCTCCACGGAATTCCGGAAACCAGCGAAGGGACCGATGATGTCAATGGAGAAAGTAAAGGAATTTTTGAACCGGCCAATTTACCGCTGTAGAAAAACCCTCCGGACGCTCCTTCCGCCTTTTCGGAAAACTCGCCTTTCAGCCGCCCGGCTTGCAAGAGGCGACTTTCCCTTTAAAACGTCCCCCTCGAATGAATTCTCCCCCACCCCTCCGCCCTACTGGACCGGAACGTTGAGCGAGCCAAGCGGGCCAATCAGAAGCCGGAGGATGTGCTTCGGACGCTCCTCCGCGCATCGAATGCCATTATGGCGCTAACGGAAGGGGTGTGATTGACGAGCGCCTCGTCGAATCGCCGAGGCAGATTGGACGAAAGCGACTCGATCTGAGACGCTCTTAAAGAACCCTCGGGCGGTGTTTTTTTTTTTTTTATAAATGTAAAAAAAAACTACTTTTTATAAAGCCGCGATCGGAGGATGGGAAATTTATTACCTGTGAAAAATAATGCTATGTTCAAAATAATGGGTGTGGAAATTCCGTTATTGCCTTCCTCCCCTTTTGTACCAGTTGAGAGAAACTTCAATTTCGCAGTCCTGATTTTGCACGTGTGGATGGATAATTTTTAATTGATCTTTTTTTTAATGACACGCGTTTTGCTTGCTAGCCCTTTTGTGTGGCAAACCAATTTGCCTATATTAAACGGAGTTTTGGAAATGCCCTGCGTCATTTTTTTTTTTAAAAAATAAGGGTAATATTGCAACGATATATAAAGTCAATGCACGGATTGCTTTCCTTGATCGTGGAGAAGGCAAAGGCTTCACCTGTTGAATGTCCGGCTGTTATAGCAGAAAAACAGGGTTCTAACCTGCTAGCTAAAGAAAGAAATACCCTCATCGTACATACGGATCGTTTTATAACAATGATTGCTGAAAACAGATAATTTCTGAAAGCATAAATTAACTTCCGAGCTGCAAAATGGCATGAAATGATGCCAAAATTAGTCAAGCAAATATATTGTATCCCTTTCCGCTCACCATATTCCTACATTGTCTTTGATCTCAAAAGCAGGTGCCTAGGTTGAGATTGATTTAAGCTAATTTTTTTCCTTATAATAAAACCGGCTTTTTTTGGCACAGGAAAAGTTGGTTTTTAATAGCTAGAGAGAATAGAAAGGAATAAGAATAGAATAGAAACGGAAATAGAATCGAAACGGAAACAGAGTAGAAACCAAAATAGAATAGAAATAGAATAGAATTAGTACCTTGGAGGTCTTCTAGTCGAACCCCCTGCTCAGGCAGGAAATCTTATCATTTCAGACAAATGGTTGTCCAATCTCTAATAATAATAATAATAATAATAATAATAATAATAATAATAATAATAATAATAATAATAATAATAATAATCAATTGCAAAAGGCGGCCTTATTAGGAACTGCTTCCATCCTGCGACGATACCTGTAATACCATCAAACATCCACATCTGCCTATCCCAGGTCCTGGGTAAGGACTCGATAGGTAGACAAAATGCCAAATCCAGTCTGAACATCTGGCTGACTGTGCGATGATCGATAATAATAATAAAGTTGGAAGGGACCTTGGAGGTCATCTAGTCCAACCTCCTGTTCAGGCAGGAAACCCTATACCATTTCGGATAAATGGCTGTCCAATCTCGTCTTAAAAACATCCAGTGTTGGAGCATTCACCGCTTCTGGAGGCAAGTTGTTCCACTGGTTAATTGTTCTAACTGCCAGGAAGTTTCTCCTTAGTTCTAGGTTGCTTCTCTCCTTGCTTAGTTTCCACCTGTTGCTTCTTGTCCTGCCTTCAGGCACTTTGGAAAATAGCTTGACCCCTCTTCTTTAAAAAGTTTCGCATCAGGGTCTTCTCTGGAATGGCTGGCAGCTTAAGATGATGCTCTTGTATCTACTCAGTTTCCACCTGAGAAATAATATGCAAGATTTTACAAGAAGGGAGAGGGAAAAATCTCCTTTGGTAATTCTTTACCTTGATTGAATTTGCTGCTTACAGTTTCTCAGATAAAGGTGTTGCCCTATAATTTTAATTAATAAGAAACAAGTATTATCACTTTATGAAATTGATTTATATATAAATAAAAGAAACATAGGATGTAAGCAGTCAGAAGATTGTCATTTTGAATGGGCTTCCCTAAGTCCCGTTCCCCCCCCCCAGATGGTAAGAGAAATCAAACAAGCTAATTAGCAGAAAATTAAAATAAAAGTGTGTAATTCACCCCATAACCTGATGTGAATCCACTCAACCTCTTCTTCCGCCCCATAGTCAGGATTTACTTAAGAGTTGACACTTAACTGAAATGGGCGGTATAGAACTATGATAAATTAAATAATAGGTTAAGAAAGGACTGGAAGCAGGTGGAACCACTGTAACTCCAAAAACAGAAACCTATATAAATCAGAGTTTGTGAGGAAAGTTGAGAAGTGGTTGTGATTGTTTCCTGAATCTAAGATAATCAGCTGAGTGTTGCAGGCAACCAGCTTTTTCTCTCCAATATGCGGTCTTTTGTGTTTGTGGGGTATGTGGCTTGTTTTATTTCTCATTTTAAAGGCCAGAGAAGGGAGGCTTGGAAAAGTGTCTAGCTTTTGTTTTGGAAGGTTAAAAAAAACTCTGATTCTGAAGGTGAAGTCTTTTTAAATTAGGAAAACAGAAAACCAGCCTTGGAATGTGATTAAAAACCAGACATGAATGTCTGAAATTGGAGAGGGTTGTGTGTTGGATATAATTTCCAAATACATTAGTGAAGTTATGCTTTGTTTGGAGACAGTGTGAAACAGAACTATTATTTGAACAGAGTTTATTTTTTAAGGTGACACAAATGTGTGCACAATTGATAGAATTGTGAAGTATACTTCACAGCTAAGCTCTGTTCTTGTAAGCCAATATTCTGGGTTCACAACATACCCAACACTCCAAATTGACCATAGGGTGGGTTTTCACAGCCTGCAGGTTAAATTATCTTTGGTTACAGTCATGGTCAGTTCATGATTAGGCTTTGTAACCAAGTGGGACAGCAATGAAGTCTTTCCTCTAAGACAGACTAACAGAACAATAGAGATGGAAGGGACCTTGGAGGTCTTCTAGTCCAACCCCCTGCTCACTATATTAATATTTCAGACAAATGCCTATGCAGTCGCTTCTTAAAAGCCTCCATGATGGAGCACCCACAACTTTTGAAGGCAAGCGGTTGCACTGGTTAATTGTTTTCACTAAGACCTGTGGACTTCAACTCCCAGAATGGCTGGCTAGACAAGTTTTAAAGTTGCCAAGATTGGACACCCCTGTTCTAAGACTTAATTTATCCCACTTTCTGTTCTCTTTCTCAGTAACGAATATTTTATACTTGCAACACAGGCTTGCTCTGTAGTCCTCTACTTGGAGATTTTACCTCTTTTTATAGCGCTGGAAACCAGGAGAACTGATGCTATTGTGTGTAGCTCCTGTGTACTCTTGTTACCAGAAGATCCATGTTAGAGAAATACTGTGAATGTGTTGATAGTGTTCCCAAAACCAGAAGCCTTGGAAAACATTTCATGACGATTTCCATCGTCCCTTTGCTTGTTGGTAGGGGCTAACAGAAACTTTTTAAAAATATTTTTATTAATTTATGAATTTTCATGACTGCTGGTCGTTGCCTCATTTCTAGGGCTGAGAGTTTGTGGCTGGCCCAAAGTCACCCGGCTGGTTTTGTGCTCAAGACTCCCATTTTCTATTCTGATGCCTTGACCACTACACTAAACTGGCTCTTTTTCAGTTAATAGAACCAATCAAAATATTACCTATTATGTGTTTGGATTTTTTTCAACTTGGCAGTTCCCAGATACCTGAAATCTCTGGCAAGCAAGCCTTATGCTCCAAGATACTCTAACAAAAACTCTTGATTTTAAAACTGCTTTATTGTCTCTTCTTCACGAGCCTTGAATATTTAAAGATGGCTCCCTTTGTATTCTGTCTGAAACATATATCGATGCCTAAAGTCATTTGCTGATTCAATTTACCCTTACTGTTTCTCCTGTAGCTTTATGTTTTTTTCCTTGCCAGAAAAGATCACACACAAATTATTGTACCTACATTTCTTAATTTATTCTCTGGTTTGAGATGTTGCAGGATACCGTTCCACCTCATCTTTTATCTGTAGCCTCATCCTTCTCTCCATCTCATCCATCAAAAGCAAAACTAATTTAATTTTTTTGCCTTTGTTTTTCCAATAGTATCCTATTCTACATATTGGGGAGCCAGGGAGTGGTGTCCATACCTTTTCCCACAGGTAAGCATTGGTTTTGCAAAGGTGGTGAAGAAGATTACTAATTTTATGTTTTAAATACAAATCGACCCAATTCACTCTTCTCAATCTTCTTGTATTATTCTTGTGCAAATCAGCGATGGTTATTGCCTCATTTTTTTTTAAAGTTTAACACTGCTGTCTTCAACTGAAAATAGATGTGCACAGAAATGGCTGGAATAGGAGAAATCACTCGCAAAAAATATAAATAACATGCAGGAAGTAGCTATTGAATTTCTGTGCAGACTTAAGCTAATACATTAATAATCTAGAGCAGTGTTTCTCAACTGTGACAAATTTAATATGCGTGCACTTTAACTCCTGGAATTCCTCAGCCAGCGTGGATGACTGGGGAATTCTGGCAGTTAAGTCCACGCATATTAAAGTTGAGAAATACTGCAAAATAAATAAATAAATAAAGATGAGAGCATTAGAATAAGAAATCAAATTTTGCAGGACTGCCTGTGGCATTGGCTCAAAGCACAAATTAACCTGAATCCTCACATACCCTATTATGGTTTAATGCAGTGATTCTCAACCTTTTTAATGCCGCGACCCCCAACCGGTCGCAAGTCGAGGACTACTCAACCGGTCGTAAGTTGAGGACTACTCAGCTGGTGCAGCACCGTTTGCAGAGTGGGACTTTTGGCGGGCTCAGCAGGGCAGAGACAGCCTGGACAATTCCTATTGGCTTTTGAAAGCCAATAGAATTAGACTCTATTCAAGAGAGTCTATTCTATTGGCTTTCAAAAGCCAATAGAATAAAAGGGAGTAGCACAGCTAAGGAAAAAGGGGGAAAAAATGGCGGACTGCATTGTTTGGCGACCCCCGTGAAATGGTCGTTCGACCCCACATGGGGTCCCGACCCACAGGTTGAGAACTGCTGGTTTAATGCAATGCGTGAAGCCGGTTCTAA